AAAAATCCTCAATATGACCTAAATATGGAAAGGCATTTTGGTTTTATGGATTAGAAGACTTAATATTGTTAAGATGGCAATACTACTTAAATTGATCTGCAAATTAAGTGCAATTTTATCAAAACTCCGGTTTCACTTTTTCAGAACTTAATGAGTTGACCCTAAAATTTATATGGAAATACAAGAGATTTTAAAGAGCCAAAACAATATTGACAAAGAAGAACAGTTGGAGAATTCACACTTCTTGATTTCAAAACTTCGTACAAAGCTACAGTTATCAGGATGGTGTGCTTCTGGCATAAGGACAAACATATAGATCAATTAAAAAGAATTAGGATCCCAGAAATAAATCTTTGTATTCACAGTCAATCGATTTTTTACAAGAATGCCAAGACCATTCAATGGGGGAAAGAATAGTCTTTTCAGAGAATAGTGCTGGTGCAACTGGATATCCACATGCAAAAGAATGAAGTTGGTCCCCTCTGTCACAGTATATACAAAAATCAACTCAAAATGGATCAAAAACTTAAATGTAAAAGCTAAAACGATAAAACTCTTAGAAGAAAACCATAGGTGAATATTTGTGACTGTAGATTAGGCAATGATTTCTTAGATATGATACCTAAAGCATGAACAACAACAAGCAAAAGGTAAATTGGATTTCATCAAAATTAAACTTTTATGCATCAGAGGACACTATCAAGTAAGTGAAAAGACAATCCACAGAATGGGAAAAAATATTTGCAAACCATATATCTGTAACCACCTAGTATCCAGAATGTGTAAAGAACTCTTACAACTCAACAATAAAAAGATAAACAGCCCAAGTAAAAAGATGAGCAAAGGATTTAAACAGACATTCATGCAGAGAGGATACACAAATGAGCAATAAGCACATGAGAAGATGCTCAACATGCATTAGGGGGATTGCAAATCAAAACCAAAATGAGATGCCACTTTATACCCACTAGGGTGGCTTTACGCCCACTAGGATGGCTATAACCAAAACACCCCCCCAAAAACAAACAAATGAACAAAAAAATGGAAGAAAGCAAGTGTTGGCAAGGTTGTGGAGAAACTGGAATCAAAATAAATCCTAGTGGAAATGAAAAATGATGCAGCCACTGTGGAAAATTTTGACAGTTCATCAAAAAGTTAATTACAGAGTTACCATCTGACCCGGCATTTACACTCTTAAGTATATACCAAGAAAATGGAAGACACATTTTCACAAAGAAATGTGTGTATGAATGTTAATAGCAGCATTATTCATAATAGCCAAAATATGGAGACAATCCAAATGCCCATCTACTGACAAACAGATAAACAGAATGTGGTACATCCATGCAATTGAATATTATTTGGCCATAAAAAGGAATGAAATACATGCTACAACATGGATGATCCTGGAAAACATTATGCTAAGGGAAAGAAGCCAGTCACAAAAGATGACATATAATATGATTCCATTCATATGAAATGTCCAGCACAGGTAAATCTATGGAGACTGAAAGTAGACTAGTGGTAGGTCAGGGCTCATGGGTAGCTGGGGGGTGGGGGTGGGAAGGGGCATGGTAGTTCATGCGTGTAAGATTTCTTTTTGAGGTACCAGAAATATTCTAAAATTGGCTGTGCTGATGGTCATGCGTATCGTGATTACACTAAAAACCATTGAATTGTATACTTTAAATGAGTGAATTGTGTGGTATATGAACTATGTCTCAATAAAGCTATTTTTTAAAAATCTTGTACACCAATGTTCATAGCTGCATCATTTGTAATAGCCAAAAAGTGGAAACAACCCAAATATCCATCAACTGAAGAATGGATAAACAAAAGTGGTTTATCTCTACATAGGAATAATGTGCAGCCATAAAAAAGGAATAAAGAATTGATACATGCTACCACGTGGATGAACCTACCTCAAAAACATTTTGCTGAGTGAAAGAAGCCAGAGACAAGAAGCTACATATTGTATGATTCCATTTATGTGCAATGCCCATAATAAGCAAATCTGTATGACACCAAGTTGATTAAATGTTGCCAGGGGATGTAGGTGGGAGGGAATTGGGAATGGTTATTAAAAGTATAGAGCTTCTTTTTTGGGAGGATGAGAATATTCTGGAATTAAATAGTGGAGATGGTTACACAATATTGTGAATATATTAGGAACCACTGTATCGTACACTTTAAAATGGTGAATTTTTTATGTGAATTTATCTCAAAAAAATTGCCCAAAAGGCTATACAGGAGTAAATCCTTATTTAATGGCAGTCCTGAAAAAAAAAGAACATGTGGCCAGTTAGTCAAGAGAACCAAGAGAGTGGTTATCTAGAAACTTGAGGGGTTTTTTTCCCTCTTTATTTGTGTTGTTATTGTTGCTGTTGAAGCAACATTGGTTTACAACATTATATAAATTTCAGGTGTACACCATTATATCTCAACTTCAGTATAGACTACATCATATTCACCACCAAAAGTCTAGTTGCCATCCGTCACCATTCAAATGTGTCCCTTTACCTCTTTCTCCCTCCCCCCATCCCATTCCCCTCTGGTAACCACCAATCTCTTCTCTGTATTTATGTGTTTTCTTATTGTTGTTGTGTTGTTTTTCTATTTTCCGCATATGAGTGAAATCCTACATTATTTGGCTTTCTCTATCTGACTTATTTCTCTTAGTAGAATACCCTCAAGGTCCATCCATGTTGTCACAAATGGCAAGAGTTCGTATTTTTTATGGCTGAGTAGTATTCCATTGTATATATATAACACATCTTCTTTATCCATTCATCTGTTGATGGGCACTTAGGTTGTTTCCAAGTCTTGGCTATTGTGAATAATGCTGCAATGAACATAGGGGTGCATACATCTTTTCAAATTAGTGTCTTCATGTTCTTTGGATAAATACCCAGAAGTAGAATAGGTGGATCATATGCTAGTTCTATTTTTAATTTTTTGAAGAATCTCCACACTGTTTTCCATAGTGGCTGCACACTTTGGCAGTGGAGAAAGGGTTCCCTTTTCGCCACAACCTCTCCACATGTTACTTGTTACTTCTTGTCTTTTTAATAACAGCCATTCTGACAGACTTGAGGTGACATCTCATTGTGGTTTTGATTTGCATTTCCCTCATAATTAATGATGTGACTATTTTTCCATGTGCCTGTTGGTCATCTGTATATCTTCTTTGGAAAAATGCCTGGTCAGGTCCTCCACCCATTTTTTAATTGGGTTGTTTGGTTTATATTGTTGAGTTGTATGCGTTCCTTATATATTTTGGATATTAACCCCTTATCAGAAATATGATTTGCAGTTATTTTCTCCCAATTGGTAAGTTGCTTTTTTGTTTTATTGAGAGTTTCTTTTGCCATGCAGAAGCCTTTTAGTTTGACGTAGTCTCACTTGTTTATTTTTTCTTTTTCTTTATTTTTTCTTTTGTTTCCCTTGCCTGAGAAGATATATCTTAAAAGATACTGCCAAGACTGATGTCAAAAAGTGTACTGCCTCTGTTTTCTTCTAGGAGTTTTATGGTTTCAGGTTTTACTTTCATGTCTTTAATCCATTTTGAGTTAATTTTTTTTTTTTAAAGATTGGCACCTGGGCTAACAACTGTTACCAATCTTTTTTTTTTCTGCTTTATCTCCCCAAACCCCCCCCCGTACACAGTTGTATATCTTAGTTGCCGATCCTTCTAGTTGTGGGATGTGGGACGCCACCTCAACGTGGCCTGACGAGCGGTGCCATGTCCACGCCCAGGATCCGAACCCTGGGCCGCCGCAGCAGAGCACGCGAACTTAACCACTTGGCCACGGAGCCGGCCTCTAATTTTTGTATATAGTGTAAGATAGTGGTCTACTTTTAATCCTTTTCACGTGGCTGTCCAGTTTCCCCAGCACTATTTATTGACGAGACTTTCCTTTCTCCATTGCATGTTCTTGGTTTCTTTTTAAAAAATTAGCTGTCCATAAATGTGTGAGTTTGTTTTTGGGCTCTAAATTCTGTTTCACTGATCTGTGTGTTTTTGTGCCAGTACCTTGCTGTTTTGAATACTATAAATTTGTAATATACTTTGGAATCAGGGAGTGTGATGCCCCCAGCTCTGTTCTTTTTTTCTCAGGATTCCTTTTACTATTCAGGGTCTTTTGTTGTTGCATATAAATTTTAGGATTCTTTTTTCTATTTCTGTGAAAAATGTAGTTGGAATTTCTGTAGGGGAGGAGGAGTTTTAAGGATAAAGCTATCAATCACCCAAACAATTTTCCATGTGATGATTCTATTCTCACCAGGATTTCTTTTTAGTATAATCTGGCTTCTCCTGTATATTTCCTTTTCAGAGAAAATTTGCTGATCACAGTCTTCTGATCTTCTTGGCCATTACATTTTTCATGAAAAAAAGGATAAATTGGATTGGGATTTTGGCTTAGTTTATAACTGTTTTCTGGTCATCATGCTGAGGCAGATTGGCCCTCCCCCTCCTAACTTTAGCTCTGGTGTGGAGACTCATGACACCCTAAACACGAAGGAATTTGAGAAAAATTTCATTACTCAAGGGACCCCTGGAAGAGCAGGGGACCAAATAGGTCTGGGAAGGCTTGAGAGAGAGTGCATTGGGACTTTCTAGTCTCTAAGGGGTGGATCTGGGGGAGAATTCCCCTTAATGGGCTGTAGATTTCCAAGTTTTAAATTTCAGCGAGCAGCCTCAGTTTGGGTATTACAAGCCAGGTTGGACAGCAGGCTCGCTGAGATTGGTCTCAGCGTCCGGCCCTCATTTGGGCCCGCGGCCCGTGGCTCACAATCCACGACACACACCAGAGCGGCACTGCCTTCGAGAATGTGTAAGGGCCATGCACATGTCCGTGCCCGCCCTTCCTCGTCGGTTAGAAAAGAAACCCGGATGTGCGGGGAGGAGGGCGGGGGGGGGGAGGAGGGCGGGGGGGGGGGAGGAGGGCGGGGGGGGGAGGAGCTGGTGTCTACCCATGAGGCAGTGCGCGTAGTTACATACTTCTGTCCTCGTCTGAGGCGCTCATTCCTCGCTGGGAGTCGCTGAGGCCGCTGCTGTTGCTGTGGCCGCCGCCTAGTGTTTTCGCGCTCCTCCCTTTCCTCCTCCTCTTTCTCCTCCTTCTCTGAGTCCCAGTCAGGCCGACCTTCTCTGCTCTGGGTAAGTGTCCCCCGCCCCCGCTTGCGCCGCACTGAGGCAGCCAGAGGCTCTCCCGCGCTGCCGTGCCGGCCTTGCTCTGAGGATGGCAGGTTGAGGGTCTGGATGCCGGCGTGTGGCGCCCGGATCGCCCAGAGCGAGGGGGAGGGGACGGGCTTGGCAGAGCGGTGGCGGGTGGGCCACCATCTTGCGCCAGCCCCGGCGGGGGAGGGATCTCAGAAAGGTAGCAGCTTGGCGGCAGGGTTTGGCGGCCCGCTCAGGCCGTGGCCGCGCGGGCCGCCACAGCCTCCACCTCACTTCACGGGGCCTGCGGGTCTGTCTGTCCCCAGGCTGGTTTTGGCTTTTCTTTCTGGAGGCAACTCCCTTTGGTCTTTTGTATATTTGATGCCCGATGTTTGGCGAGACCCGCCCACCCCTAATTCTCTTCAGTCATAGGAAAAGAGACCAGAGAAGGTTCCGAACTTTCTGGTTTTAGGGCCCCTTGGGCCTCTCCTTTCTGCCCAAATTCCCCCACCCAGGTTACTGGTCATTTAATGCTAAAACCCTTGTTCTTGCCAAAGGGGCTTCGCTCCTCCGTCAGAGAAATCGTGTTCCATTCCGTTATTGTCTAGAGGAGAAGAGCCCTGAGGAGAAACGTGGAGTTAAGATAATTTTCTAACAATGAGCTTTGCAGGTTTTACTTGATGAGAAAATTATCTCATTCTGAGCTGTTATCCTTCTCTAGACACAGAGGGAATTCCTTTTAACTTATCTCAAGTTTTAATGCTTTTTAAAAGGAGAAATCAGATAAGAAAATGTCAAGTGAGCCAGCTTCTGCAAGCACAGGAGATCTTCATTCAGGGGATTCTCTTTGTTTGCAAAGATTTTTTAGATTTTTTTAAAAAAATCTGTGAACTTAAATTTTGCCTTTATTGTTTTCAGGTTTGGACTGTGAGTTTTGGTGTCTTTTAGTGCCTCAAACATAAAATTGAAACCAAGAAATGAGTTTTAAACTACAAAAGTCTCCTCTTAGCATTTGTGAGATGTTCTGCTTTGGGAGTTACTATGAAAACTCTGTCTCCTTAAGCAGAAACTTTACTGAGCCTATGGAGGCATTGATTTGCTTATAAAATTAAGTTAGGTTTATGTGCTCTTGATGTTTTAACATCAGTACAAATTCCACTATAATTGTAACTTGCACTTGTATATTTCATTGATATCACTCCTTTTGAAGTGGGCTCTGAGATGTTTATAGAACATTTTAGAGGGTGAGGAAACAGCCTCAAGAAGACTTTACCGAGGTCACGTGAGTAGGAAGTGATAGAACCAGTTCTTAAACCTAGGTCTTCTGATGCCTCACTCAATGCTCAATTCACTATATTATGCCCCACGTTTTATGGGAGTGAGGTAGTGAAGGAGAATAAGCAAGGAGGATCATCGAAAAAATATAAGAAATAATTTTTCAGTTCCCCTTTCCTTTATATTTTTATTTTTAAGACTCCATATCTTTCCAACTTTTTAGTATGTAAATAATACTGTTTTTATTTACAAGCACATTGAAAAGTTGAAGAATAGCCCATTGAAAAAAGTTCTGATGTTGAAGAGCAACAAATTTCAGCTTCTCCTATTCGACCCATTTTCCCCTGTTTTCTAGTCCAATCTTTTTTCTTCAGCCTAGTATTTTACTACTCAGTGTGAGCTTTTTTAGTAGAAGTGAAGAGTAAGGGGAAAGGGTTATATAATTCTGTACCTCCTTTCTTGATTCAAAAGGACGTTTAGAACCATACCAAAATTTTTTATTGCTGTTGTTATACTAATTGGACAGGGAAAATACCAAATGAAGCTCAATATTTGTAAATAGAAAGTAATCCATAATTTCAGTGACAGGATATTGAAAATTTATATCAAAAACATTTTGTTATTCTAAAAGTAACTTCTTAGGGCTCAGAAATATTTGACATATTCACTGATTCAATATATAGTCCTGAATATTTTTTTCTGTCTTCCTGCTTCAGAGAGGGACTTAAAAATGTTTGGTTTTCAGTCAGGTTGCTTCAAATAACAACTCAGGAAGACTTGGTTTATTCAGTAATTTGTATCAAAAATGGATATCTAGACTTTTTTGATTCATTCTCTGCAAAGCAGTTTTCTTTTAAGGAGTGTTTTTATTAACTTTCAGTATGTCAAGAAAAATAGTCATCACTATGGACCTTCTGGGTCCAATGGACCATTTTTATTTATTTTAACTCATTTTTTAAATAATTTACACAAGAATAAAGAAATAGTGGAACCAACTTAATTAGATATTTGATAAGAACTTAGACATGGTGTGCTTCTTTGTACAGTCCCTCAATATCTGGGGGGATTGGTTCCAGGACCCCTATGGATACCCAAATCAGCGATGTTCAAGTATATACTTAGAAAAACAAATAAACAAAAATTTTGGATGCCAGTAGAAGAATCCATCTGTCTTTTATTAAGATAGATATTAAAGACATTTGCAAAAATGTATATCAGTGCCATTTTTCTCATGAAATTTTTTGTTTTAGAAAATGTTTTCATTAAAAACATATGAACATGCAATGGGCTTATTAATAATATTACTTTAAATAAATTAATGCATATTTAATTTTTTCTCAGTTTCAATATCTAACATGGTAAGTGTCAATAGATATAATCCACGTGAATGAAATCTCGTTGGGATTCTCAATAAGTTTTAAGAATAAAAAGAGATCCTGAGACCAAAATATTTGAGAACTACTGATCTGGTGTACTTTATTTGTGGCAACATTTTAACAATTCTTTACATGAATTAGAATTTTAGTACTTATATTCATCAACTTATAGTATGAATTCCAGTAAAGAAGGAAAAGTTGAGCAAAATAATGCAAATTCCCACTCAGTTATTCAGCCCCTATGTCCAGTGTTCCCATCATTGTGCTCCACTTCTTTACATGATATTTCCCTGGTGGATAAGTTTTACTCCTATAAAATGTGAGTTAATTAATAATATGTCCTACGTTACTTTAGAAATTAGTGATTATAGAATATCTTATAAAACTTAAATAAAATATTTATTATATAGTTTGGCTTTGGATGGTCAATTATACATTAGTCTTGTCTCCAGGTTATGTGTTTTACATATGAATTACAACAAAAGCAAATTTGTAAAGATAAAATCTTTTCCCTGAATATAATATTAAAAATACTTTGTAGAAAGTAAATTTCATTATAGTGTCCCATCCCAAAAGCTAACATAAAAGAAAATGTTTTAAAATATAGGCAATCTTTGCAAAGTGTTATGTTAATAAATTTTAAATCTCAGTGTCACGTAGCTATTTTCCACAAATAGATGAAGTACGAAAATCAACAGAGACAAAAGTTGAAAACCTGAAAAAAAATAAGGGGAGAATAGTAAAATCAGCAAAGAAATGTCTTCTCAAAATGTACCTGGACTTAATGTGTTCAAGCTTTCAAAAACATAATAATTTCCACAATATAAAAATTTCTTGGACAAAGAAAAGATGGTGAACCTATGTTTTTCTTCTAAATTATGTGATTTGTTCCCAAAATCTGGTTTGAGAGTTTGAATTGTTTAGGTGCCAGTGAAATTGTCTAAGGAACCAAAGCATAATCCAGTGTTTCTTGGATTTGAGTACTGTACAAGTTAATTCTTGTTATAATAAAAACATTTTCACAGACTTTCTTCTACTTAAAATGTATAAAATATGCTTAGAGCTCTTACACAAACATAAAACAAAATAATCAAATAAAACTACAAAATCAACACTATTTGAATCAACTTTAATACAGTGAATGAATAATATATTTTGATGAAACAAAGTCACTGCCTACTTTTTTTGAGTTTTTCATACCTATCTAAACAAGACTTTTCACAGCAAGACCTATCATAGCAAGATTTTTCTATTTGAACCTTTTCAATACCTTCATTTCTGTAGCTAACTGTATCATCATTTGTCCTTCATTTAGGCAAATGCACCACTTAGGTATTCTCTCCTTCTGTTCTTTTATTATTAGCCAGCAGCCATAAAAGTGATAGTACTTGATGACAACGTAGTAGTAAATACAGACAAAAGTATGAGTCCTGATATGATCCAGTAATTCCACTTCTGGATATTTATCCGAAGGAAATAGAAACACTCACCCGAAAAGATATCTGCACCCCATATTCATTGCAGCATTTTTTACAATAGCCAAGACATGGAAACAATCTAAATGTCCATCGTTGGGTGAATGAATAAAGAAAATGTGGTGTATGTATATAATGGAATGTTCAGCTATAAAAAAAGAAGGAAATCCTGCCATTTGCGACAATATGGATGGACCTTGAGGGCATTGTGCTAAAAGATAAATACCGTATGACCTCACTTATATGTGGAATCTAAAATAAAAAACAAAACTGAACCCAGATACAGAGAACAGATTGGTGGTTGCCAGAGGTAAGGGGTGGGAGGATTGGGTGCAGGTGGTCCAAAGGTACAAACTTCCAGTTATAAAATAAAGTCCTGGGGATGTAATGTACAGCATGATGACTATAATTGGAAAGTTGTTAAGAGAGTAGATCTTAAAAGTTCTCCTCACAAGAAAAAAAGATTGTAACTATGTGTGGTGAGGGATGTTAACTAGACTTATTGTGGTGATCATTTGATATATAGAATCGTTATATTGTACATGTGAAACTAACATAATGTTATATGTCAATTATTTCTCAATTTAAAAAAACATGAGTACTGAAATTAGGTGACCGAGCTTTGTTATAAGGTGGTCATCCAGAAGATCCCCAGAGTATGCTTATATTAACTTTTTAGATAGACAGCAAAACACTATATTGTTTTAGAGCTCTCTTGCACTGTCTGGAATATATCTATTTTCCCCAGAGGTCTGTTAGTTTGAAAAATGTTGGGATAATCCATTGGTAAGTGTACTATTACTCTTGAATGCAAGTACCAGAAACGTAGCTCAAAGTAGATTAAACCAGAAATGAACAATTACCTCTCTCTTAACTGAAAAGTCTTAGTAGTTAATTTGCTTCAAGCATAACTAGCTTCAGGTGTTTAAATGGTATCAGAACTTGACCATCTCCACACCCTACCCTCTTTTTATCTACCCTAGAATCTCATGGCTTTGCTATTCTCTTTGTTGACTTTTTTTTAGGCAGTCTTTCTCCACATAGTAACTCCATCACTTCCAGGCTTATATCTTACCAGCTTATTATTTTCTTACCAGTTTTATCGAGATGTAATTCACATAACATACAGTTTATCCATTTCAGTGTACAGTTCAAGGATTTTAATATATTCATAGTGTTGTGCAACCATCACCAGAGTCAGTTTTAGAACATTTTCGTCACTGCTAAAAAGAAACTCCATATCCATTAGGACCTGTTTCTCCCAACCCTCCTAGCCCTAAGCAACCACTACTCTACTTTCTGTCTTTATGGATTTGGCATTTCTGGACATTTCATATAAATAAAATTATGCAGTACGTGGTCTTCATGACTGGCTTCTTTCACATAGTATAATGTTCTCAAGTTCCATCTATGTTGTAGTATGTATCAGTTCTTCATTCCTTTATTTGACTGCATATTATTCTATTGTATAGGTATGTCACATTTTGTTTATCCATTCATCATTGGGGAATAGAGTTGTTTCCACTTTTTGGCTATTATCAATAATGCTGCTATGAATATTCATGCACGAGTTTTTGTTGGACGTATGTTTTCAATTCTCTCTGACTAGGAGTGGAATTGCTGGGTCATGTGGTAACTGTGTTTAACTTTGTGAGGAGCTGCCAAAGTGTTTGCCACAGTGTCTGCACCATTTCGTATTCCCACCAGCAGTGTATGAGGGTTCCAATTTCTCCATATCCTTGCCAACACTTGTTATTGTCTTTTTTATTACAATCATCCTACTGGAAGTGAAATGGTATCCACTAGTTTTTAAAATATTTCCTCTTGTGGTAAAATACATGTAATATACAATTTACCATTTTAACAATTTTAATCCGTTAATGTTTTTAAAAAATTTTATAGAATGTGTTCTTAAAAGATAGTCTGAAACCAAAAAATATCTAAATAGTAATTGTAATTATTTATACAGGCAGTCTCCAAAAATTGAAAGAGTTGTGTTCCAAGAAGTCTTTTATTAGTCAGTTACTTGGAATTCATTTTCCCCCATAGGAACAGTGTATTCAACATGGGCATAGTATCTCTACCTAAGGCAATAGCTGAAGTAGAGAGTTCTTTTCTCTTCTGCCTATTTTGGTGCCAACTCTGAGTTGCAGAACCTAGAGACACTCTGGAGTTGCTATTATAGGAGCTCTAAGGTCCTCACTGCATGTTTTGCTGGCTAGTTCCTTTCTCTGACAGATGACTCAGTCTAGCATAGAATGCCTTGCTTTGCCACCAAAACTCTGAAGTGATGACTTGAGAGTTTTTTGTGGTGATAGTTTAGAAGGACTTGACTACCTTATTGAATAGCACAGCTTTAGACCGACCTTATGGTTCTAATGGCATCTGAGGATTTCTGACTTTTTTAGAGTTTATGAATGTACCATCTGAGGCCTGCTATGGGCCTCAGAAGTCATCTCTGTAGTCATAGGCAGTGGATTTGACTTGTTTATATAGACTACTTGTACTTTTAGTACTAATTTTAGGATATTTGTGCCAATAAATATTTTATATGATCTTTTAATAAATGTGCCCTATATGAGTCTCATAGGCTGTGCAGTTGTGAGCCTTGAAAACTTTTCTGTATTCTTTTTTTTTTTATTAATGTTATGATAGATTACAACCTTGTGAGATTTCAGTTCTACATTATTGTTAGTCATGTTGTGGGTACACCACTTCCCCCTTTGTGCCCTCCCCACTTTTCTGTATTCTTGGTAGCAGTAGGTCCTTAAGGCTGAGCAAGAATTGACGTGTATTTATTTGCTTGACTTTTTGGTGCCAACTCTGAGTTGCAGAACATAGAGACTGCACTCCCTTATTTCTAGTTTAGGGACAAGCAATAACTATTCAAATAATTGAGTTAAACAGATTCGAATAGTTAAACCTCAGAACTAGGGAAATTTACTTAAGTACAGAATTCACTAGAGATTCTTGTAATAGTAATTCAAACATTTATACCATTAACTTCTGGAGTTAAAGTAGTTTTTTTCCATTGGTCTAAGTCAATCTAAATAATTTGGAATTGGGAAAAGCAGGAAAGCTTGCTTTTGCCAGTCTGAGGATAAAGGCAAACGTGAAGACTCAGTTAGTTCTGTTTATCCTTATACTTCAGGTTTCTGATGTCTGATTTTTTTACTTTTTTTTGAATAATTGAAATAGCTTTTTTTAAGGCACAATTATTTGTATGTAAAAAATTGGTCTATGCATGAGAATTCAGAATACAAATCCTGTCTTAAAGAAAGCAATTCAAAGGATTTTTTGATAATGTTTAATATAACAGCTTTTTTGAAAGTCCAAGGAACCATAGGCATATTAGATTATAAACTTCTGAAAGCAAAGTCTATAATTTGTTCATCCTAATTTTTTCCCTAGAACTGAGCACATTAATTACCTTGAGCATAGGGGCAATGAGTAATTATTTTTTAATGAATTAATCTATGATGAAATTTGTCCAACTAATTTTCTGTTCCTTTCGGTTAGCATTAAGAAACCAAAAAAGTGGGGCCGGCCCGGTGGCGCAGCGGTTAAGTTCGCACGTTCCGCTTCTCGGCGGCCTGGGGTTCGCTGGTTCGGATCCCGGGTGCGGACATGGCACTGCTTGGCAGCCATGCTGTGGTAGGCATCCCACGTATAAACTAGAGGAAGATGGGCACGGATGTTAGCTCAGAGCCAGGCTTCCTCAGCAAAAAGAGGAGGACTGGCAGTAGTTAGCTGAGGGCTAATCTTCCTCCAAAAAAAAAAACAAAAACAAAAACAAAAAAAGTACAAACAAAAAATTGTTTTGAACATGTTTTCTTTTAATAATTTTATCTATTTTTGAAATGTGAAGAATAAGTAACAGTTAAAGATTAATGTCACTTAGCATTTCAAAATTCAGATTTACTAAAACATATATTACAGGGTGATTATTCATTTTTACAAAAAGATGCGTTTCAAAAATTGTTTGCGATTTGGGGGTCATCCAGGTGGCGCAGCAGTTAAGTTCTCACATTCCGCTTCTGCAGCCCGGAGTTCACCGGTTCAGATCCCGGGTGAACCTACACACCACTTGTCAAGCCATGCTGTGGCAGGCATCCTGCATATAAAGTAGAGAAAGATGGGCACGGATGTTAGCTCAGGGCCAGTCTTCCTCAGCAAAAAGAGGAGGATTGGTGGCACATGTTAGCTCAGGGCTAATCTTCCTCAAAAAAAATTGTAATTTAATAATTCATTAGATTTCTTCAAGTAATAAATGCTTAATACATTCAGCATTTTATTTAATAAATTTGAATTCATTCAGGAATGAATCAGTTATGGAAAGTGAATAGCATGTGTATATCAAATATATCAAATTCAAAAGGTAAGGTTTCTGTAGGAGAAAAAGATTAAATGTGTGTACATTTAATTTAACAAATCCACCCTGATAGTAGATATCCTTCTTTTATAGGGAAGAAAACTAAGACTTAACTTGCTACCTTTTCTGGAGTCACATGGTGAGTTTGCTGGAGATTGAAATTAGACCCAAAGATTCTGAATCCCAAGTTTCATGTTTCAATATTTGCTGTTACTTAAAGTGACTCATAAAATTGATTGATGTCATGTGTCGGTGCTTAGGTGACTCTGCAACTTGATGGACGACGACAACCCTTTTCAGCCAAAAAGTAAGTATTGCTCCTGCAAGTGATACTAGTATGCGTGGCTTCTGTACTGATAATCTTGCTTCGTGAGAAAAGGTGATAGCGATGGAGGTGGGCACATTTTTTTAAAAAAATAAAAACACTTAAATTTGTTAAAGTAATGCATACTCATAGTAAAAAAAGAACGATATACAGTAAAAATGTCAGTAAAGTAGAAATGAAGTGTTTCCTCCTCATCTCTAGAGATAAGTAGCATTATCTGTTTGGCATACGTAGTCACAAACTTTTTTATATGCATAGACAAAAACTAAATTATTTCCAGATAAGAGCATACTGTAAATACTATTATGTGCCTTTAAAAAATTTTTACTCAACAGTTTATCTTGAATATATTGACAGTGGCAGTACCCAGTTAAAACGAATAAGGAAGATCTGTGTGTCAGCATGGTATCAAAACCACGGTATCAATATAGATTTAAATGATTTTTTAATTATCAGTATATGTGGCATTTCCTCATTTTTTAAAAGTTTGACATTGCTTGACTTTGCCTAGTTTCTTAGCCCATAGATTTTCACATGTTAAGTGCCTACTGCATATTCAGTAGACTACTATGTGCAGGAGAAAACACAAAGAAAGAAGAAAATACATTCTTCACTCTCGAGCTTACTTTGAAGTTATTAGACATGTACAGTTAAGACACATTAAGAAATAGTGAGCAGTTTGAGATCATATAAGTAAGTCTTGAATTGCTTGGCATAGACTGTCACTGTAGTAAGAGAGAAGAAAAACAAGATTTCATGGTTTACTCAAAGTTATAATTGAACCAAGAGTTGGGAAGAGGCAGGGAATTCATATTTTCTTGAATATCTGCTTGAAGTTAGGTACTTTAGATGGGATTTTCCTGAATCTGCATTACCACTATGATTAGGTAGATATTGTAGCCATATTAGAGGTGAGGAAACATTCAAGTAATTTCTCGTTACTTGATTAGAAATGGTGCAACGAAGATTTGAACTATTCAATTTCATGTCCAGTCCATACTCTTTCTCCTACGCTCAAATAATGTGGACAGAAAAGAAAGGGGTCAGTTCATAAAATTAGTTACATTTGGGAAGGTGGGAAGGTTTTTTGTTTTGTTTTGATTTGTTTTATGGTAAGTGGACTACAAAACATTAAACAACGTTATGCCAAGAAATGGTTTTGGCGTACCTGTATAAAAGGGGAAAATAAATTAAAAGTTTTTAAATGAATAGCACCAATTTGTTAAGTTGTTTCTTTTGTATGCCATCCCCAAATCATTGTTTTAACATAGTACTTTTTAATTTTGAGTAAAAAGTAGAAATGACATTATTTTAATCTAGTAAAATTACCTTTAGAAATCACTGCATTTAAAAGATAAAGATATCATTGTCTACAAATAAAAAGAAACCATTGTCTAAGCCAGAACCCTGGAGTTATGATTTTGTTTTGATTATTTTTTTAGTTCCTCCATCCACGTCTCACTCCCTATATCCAGCACCGCTTGTGCGCATCCCCACTGCTGTTAATTTAGATGCTCCCTTAACACATTTTTTTAACCAGAACCATCCATACATAGTTTTAAAAAGACGAATAGTTTGAAAGTTATAAGTTGCACAACCACAGTTTCTTGAAGGGTGAGAGAGCTGTGTATGCACATGGGTGTGCATGTGTTTTGGGGCTATGTACTCCCTATTTTTTCAAGATATCCACTTTCTTTAGTTTAGCTATTTTTGTAATAATAATTTCCATATTTCCAAATTTTTAAGACACATACACATACTGCTATCTCTTGAATCATCAATTTTTGCCATTATCTAATGATTTTTCTATCAAGGAATATGAGGGTTTTAGTTTCCTTACCCTTACCCCTCCCTCCAAGCATCTCCCAATGTAGTTATATCTCAATTTTTGGTTACATCATATTTTTTAATGATGTTTATTGTGATGACCATAATAAATATTGTTCACTGATGAGCACAGTACTATGGAATTAATATGTTGTGGATACAGCTTCTGTTTTCTCTTTTTTTTATATATCCAACAATTTAAATTTTTCATCCTTAAAAACTTGCTAAATTTTATTAAAATCTATAGCCAAGATTTCTCACACGCTTCTGTAGCCCTCTTAACTCAATTTTCTACACAATGAAACTTGCCAGGTAGTCTAACAACTTAATTTTTAATCTTCTGTGTGTTTGTGCGTGGTCTCCTGGAGACATTCCTCCTAAGTGTAATGTTCTGCTCTATTCTGGCTTGGTGCTCTCTAGACCTGTTGAACAGCTACTGTCCTGGGATTTGCCTGTGTCTTCGTATTGTGTTGAATGTCATGTTTTCTGCATCTTGAGTCTTCCTCCTTCTTAAGTCTCATTTTTTGGTGGGTTCTTCCTGAGAAAGAAAGGGTGAATGGGAGGTAACTTTTGTGTGATGTTGCTGGTCTTTTATTCTTGATGAAAGAATATGTGCCTCATGCTTGACAAAAATCTTGTCTGGGTATAGAATTCTAAGTCGAAAATTATTTTTTTACTAAGACTTTTGAAAGCATTTTTCTACCTTTCTTCCCCCCCACCCCGTCTCTCTTCTGTCTCTCTCACTCTCTCAGATTTTATCTCTTGTGTTCTAAAATTTCATGATATGTCCCTCTACTCTAGATTTTTCCCTTGATCATTGTGCTGGGTGCTGGTGGGCCCTTTCAATCTGGAGATTTATGTTCTTTAGAACTGGGAATTTTTCTTGTATTTTTTCTTTGATTTCATCTCTCCTTTTTCTCTATTCTTTTTCTGGAAATTTTATTAAGTGACATACCTTTGAAATTGATTTTCTAACAATTTTGTTTTCTCTATTTAGTATATATATATATTTGTCTTTTAGTTCCACTTATGGGACATTTATTCAACTTTGGCATTTGGGGTTTTTTGAATTTTGGCTTATTTTTAATCTTTTTGTTTTCTGAATGTTACTTTTTATAACATTCTTGTCTTATCTCATTAAAAATGCTAACTACATTCTTTCTACTATTTTCTCCTGCCCCCTGTATTGTCTCTATTTTCTTTAAGATTTTTTAATCTGTTTTATTGCTTTAGTCTTTCACGTTGGAGGTTTTAATCTTTCTGGTGCTCATTGCTTGTCCATCCATGTTTAAGAACAAGGCACTAAAATGCTTCCTAGGAGCTCTGTGTGCTTGGTCAGCACTTACAGGCTGGTGGTATTCACAGTATGTTCTTTGCTCCGTTTCTTCAGGTGAGAAATGTCTAATCTGCCCTGGGATGGAATAAGTCTCAATTCCCCTCTGTTCACTCTGGCACCTCATCCCTGCTGTGCTCTGTGCCTGACATCCCTGAATCGGGTTCAGTTTTTCCAGTATATCTCCCACCTATTGTCTCTTATTCTTAGTTTATCACCTTTTTGTTAATATAGAAGTTTGTGGGGGGTTTTCAGATAATAGTTAGGTACGATCCTTTTCATAGATATATTCTAGTCATGGCACTGAAACTCACTTTGATTGGATTTGATTGTTCCTATAACATATTGGCTACTGTAAATAACTACTGTTATCCATTATCTAGCTAGCTAGCTTAATTTTGCTAATTTAGATCTTAGAGATTGAGTTCTGAGTTTCTTACTTTTGCTGTCGTGTATTGAGTATAAATATCAATTCAGTAATCGCTATTAGCATTATTAAAGTACATCTTAAATCATACTATGTATTGAAAAAATGTATTTTGAAGAAATAAGATTTTCTTCTCTCATTTTGAAAATTAGCTAATTCAAAAATGGCAGAACTCTTTATGGAATGTGAAGAAGAAGAGCTAGAACCATGGCAGAAGAAAGTGGAAGAAATTCAAGATGAAGATGATGATGAGCTGATCTTTGTTGGAGAGATATCAAGATCAAAACCAGCCATTTCAAGTAATCACTTACTTTCATTAAAGTTTTAGAAGACATTATGTCTAATGGAAAAACCTGTGGGCTGTCTTATATGTCCTTACTCTGTAAGGAGTTGGAGGTGAGAGGGAGCATAGAGGTCAGTAAGAATTTGTGAGAATCCAAGGGAGGAGGTGGTTGGGGACTTGAGTAAGGAGGTGAGATGTTAAAATATGTTATGAGAGAAAAGGAAAATGGTAACTAAGTTAACTAAAGGTTGAGATTAACCAACGACGTTATAGGCCTTCTGAGATTCTAAATCGTATTTTTTTAGTGGAGCCAAGTACCCTATTTACCTTTTTATTTGTTAATTTTTCTTTTTCTCTCTTAAGCCAAATGTACCTAGAAAAGGAAGCATTTGGAATGCTTTGCTTAAAATATCAGAATACTAAATAAGTTTGTGTTAACCTCTGATGGGGATTCTCACATCCAGGCAACCACCTCATCACAGTGTCATCTTGATTCATGGCTACAAAATGTACAGGTGCTGCGTGACTGTACAATCTGTTGTCTGTGTCCTAACACAGGCTGTAGTTCTGGCCACACCCATCTTCCATCAACTCCTGACTATATTCATGAAGGACAGAGAGCCTGGTCTTTAGCCACTGTACTTGGATGACGCAGGCAATCAGCACACTTAATCCTCGTGGCTTTCTAGCAGATGTGTCCAGTACCTTTGTGGATTGTTAGATTTCTGTTAGAGTAGTTAGACTTGATGGTGTTATAACGTTAAAGTGAAGATATTGATGATACCTGTTAAAATGTCCAATCAAAAATATGTAAAGTGCAAAGGAAGAACATACTGAGTTTCACTATGTTGAGAGAAAGAAGAAACAGGTTCTTTTCCATTATATTTGCCTTTTTTTAAGCCAGGAGAATTTACCAAAGAATGTAGCCAGCATACCAATGTTTTCTTACTTACCATGGCAGGGCATAATAGTGTGGTTATGAGATGCATTTTTAATTTTCTGAAAGCCTAGTTCTTGCTTCTCTTGGAGCTAATCTTGGAAGAGCACTTCTATTTAGTTTTATCAGAGGTAGAAGAATATAATTTAATTTAACTCTCAATATCATTTCCTGTGGCAAATTGAGAGGTGCTAAGTGGAATGCCACTTCAATTATAAAATGAACCAGACATTTGGCATGTTTGCTGCTGATAGTGGAACAGAATACTATATTCTCTTAATTATTGTTTCCTAGTCACTGTGATTATTTTTATACTGAAATATATTTCAAAATTATTATTCAAATCATCTTATTGAAAGCATGACAGTTCAAGTGGGATTTATATCAATTGTGGGTGACTGTTAACAGTACTCAACTAGAACAATGTATATTAGTTTTAAGTGATTCTGTCAAAATGAAAATTGACCCCAGTGAAATTTCTTTTCTAAATTAACTCAGAATTTAAATGGTTTTACTGATGTTTTATGTGTGAGCCATAAAATATTTTTAGCATATGGAACATGGGCTAAATATTTATATAGCACCACCAGGAGAGGGCGCAAAAACTTGTGTTTAATAAACTACAGTCATCAAAAAGTACCATAGGAATAGCTCTTTAATGGCTTGAGTAAATACTTATCTTGAATTTCTGAATGAAAAGAATATCAAGTGGTTTGAAGGAGCAGGTTTTTCTCCTGGAAGACTTCTGTAGTGCTAAGCCGTAGAGCACTGCATTTCCATTATCATAGAACAATCCTAATTTTGTGTGACCCTTTAAAGACTTATTTTATGAGATCTGGTTCTTTTGTACTAGGAGGGGGAAAAAGGAAATTTGTTGAGGTTTTATGGGATTTTTTTAATGCTTTATATCTTTTCCAGATTAGCAGTTTTAGGCAAATCACTACTCTTCCAAATTTTCATTTGATTCCTCAATAACCCAGAAATTATGGGTTCACATGGGCACAAGAATGAGCAGTCAAACTGGTCCAAAGGGTCATGTCAGGCTCAAATTGACTTTTCCTCTAGTAGTAGCTTTGAGATACTCTGGTACTGTGAGTTCAACTTAGTCTGCAGTCTCTGATAGTGTCCCTTTCAGAACTCAAGAGAATTGGTAGAGATAATGCAATCAGCTTGCCCATAAGGACACTTCCAGAATTTTAAGGGTATGAATGTGGCATGGAGATTGGAGAAGGGCTTGATTTCAAGTCACAGGAACCCAAGTCTATATACAATCCTGTCACCGTTAAGAGAAAGAAATATACTTCAATTATTGGTTGCATATGGAAGAGAAAGAAATATACTTCAATTATTGGTTGCATATGGATATATTTTTGGAAAGTTTCGTCTATCTTAATATGTATTTCATTCAAATAACAAATTTTAAAATAAATATAAATTTTATAGATATTTTGAACAGAGGTAACTCCAGCTCATCTTCAAAGGGAGTAAAGAATGAGACACTCAATCAAGGTACAGTATTGTACTATTTTAATTGCAAAGTGAAATATTTTGACAAAATTGGTTGTATAGAAAAATATTCAATATATTATATAATTTTGAAATACAGGTGTTACTGATGCATTCAAGCCTACAAGTCAACACTACAAAGACCCAACCTCAAATCCAGTGTCTGCCTCGCCTAGATTTCGTCCTGAATCTAAATCTTCACAGACATCTGTTATTCGGACAGCGTCTAAACCTGTAAGCGTTCCTGAAACTACACAATTAGCTCAGGGACACATTGGCTATTATAGTACCCAGTTAGAATTGGAGACTAGCCTAGTCACCATTCCAGTAGAAGCATAATCACTTTCAGAAAGTGTCACCATCTTTATGACAGCTCAACCAATATCCAAAGTAATAACTGGAAATTAATAAATCAGGTCATATGCTTAAATTCAATAGGTATAGTATTGAAAACTATGCTATCTAAAGGTGGGTAAAAAACTATAATCAGTAATGAATATTATGTAAGGCAAAATTCTTAAGATAGTAACCTGAACAAGGTATTCTTAGTTGGGAAGTTTGTTCCGAGGTCATTGTTGCTGTTTATTCTGAAAACATAGCTTCATAGTTGAGTTTTTCAAACGTTTAACAGAAATAATAGATAATAGTGATATTTAACATTTGTTCGACTGATAATCTGGGTAAAGTCTTTGTTCTAAATGCTATATATAAATTAATCTCATTTAATTCCTGTGACTCCCCTATGAAGGAGGCACGGTCATCCCCATTTTATAGTTTAGGAAACTGAGGCTCAGAGAGGCTAAATAATTCACTCTAGGCCACACAGCTGGTAAACGATGGATCTGGGATTTCAATCTAGGTTAGCCCACAGTTTTTAAAATATGCACATACACACATCCACCCACACATTTAAGTATATACTTTTTGAAATAGAAGCATAACCTTAGAGCAATAGTATAGTCCACAGACCATTGGGGTTCCTGAGACTCTTTCAGGGGTCAGTGAGGTGAAAACTATTGTCATGATAACACTAAGACGCTTGCCCTTTTTACGCTGTCCATATTTGCACTGCTGATGCAAAAGCAGTGGAGGGGACATCTGCTGGTGCCTTAATCTGAACCAAGGCGGTGGCACTGAACTGTACAAGTAATTTTTGTATTGGTGACCACCAAGCACTCACAGTAGAAAAATTTCACTTTCACTTAAGAATATCCTTGAAGAAGTAATAACTGTCACTAATTTTATTAACCTCAACCCTTGAATGCATTTCTTTTTAAATATTCTGTGTGATGAAATGGGTGGTATGCATAAAGCATTTCTTTATCTCCAGTATGAAGGTTTACTTGAGGAGAAGCACTTGTGTGACTGAATTGCAAGCTGAACTAGCTGCTTTTTAAAAAAAATGGAATGCCATTTTTACTTGAAAGGATGACTGACAAAGCACCATGTATTGATCATTTATTGCTGTATAACAATAGGATTCTCTCTTTGTCTTTAATTTGGGACATTTTACTTATAATGTGTCTTGTTGTAGGCCTGTTGGTGTTCATCTGTTTGGTGCTCTCTGTGCTTCCTGTACCTAGACGTCTGTTTCCTTCCTTAGGTTAGGAAAGGTTTCAGCTATTATTTCTTCAAATAAATTCTCTGCCCCTTTGTCTCTCTCTTCTCCTTCTGAGACCCCTATAATATGGATGTTAGTGCACTTCATATTGTCCCAGAATTCCCTTAGACTGTTCTCATTCTGTCTAATTCTTTTTTCTTTCATCTGTTCAGCTTGGGTGATTTCCTCTAGTCTTTCTTCCAGCTCGCTGATCTGTTCCTCTGTATCGTCTACTCTGCTATTGAGTCCCTCTAGTGAATTTTTCATTTCCGGTATTGTATTCTTCATTTCTGATTCCTTCTTTTTTATATTTTCCCGTTCTTTGCTGATGAGCCCACTGTGTTCATCCAGTCTTCTCCCAATATCAGTGAGCATCCTTGTGAGTTTTTGTTTGAACTCTTTGTCAGGTAGATTGCTTATTTCTGTTTCATTTAGTTCTTTTTCTGGGGTTTTGTCCTATTCCTTGCTTGGAATGTATTCCTTTGCCTCTTTCTCTGTGCTTATATCTATGTATTAGGTGAGTCAGCTATGTCTCTTGATCTTGGAGAAGTGGCCCTATGTAAGAGATACCTTTTGAGGCCCAACAGTGTGCTTCCCTCTTGTCACCAGTCCAAATGATCCAGGAGTGACCCCTGTGTAGGCTACTTGTGTCCTTTTGCTGTGGCAGGGTTGCTTTTACTGCAGGTACCCAGAGAGTCTAGTCTTTACTCCCCTGGCAGGCTGTTTGTAAATTGGGTTTGGGGAGCCCCAGCACCATTGACTACAAGGTCTAATAACACATTCTTGTAGCAGTTTTCCTGATAATTGGGTGGGTACCCAGTGTAGCTGGTTGCTAGCCTCAGGGGCTTACAGTTGCTGTAGTCTTCAGGCCTGCAAGGCTGTTGTCAGCTCTCTTAGGATTGTAGCTGAGTGGGGCTGGCCCCAGGCCTGGGGGGACCCAATTGTTTCAGGCTTTGGAAGGTGGGGCCAATCCTCTTTGTGGCTGTTTGTGAAGCATAGGTCTTCTGCCACTGATAAGCCCCACCCCCAAAGGTCCACATACATCATCAACACAGTCCTTGTCCATGCAGACTCCTCAACACCCTGGAGAGTACCCCGACACTGCACTGCAGAGGCCCCCACCTCTCCACCAGTGCCCCCAACAGTTCCCCTGGTCCTCACACAGGCCCTGCCCCACAGAGGCAGACACACTTGTCTGCCTGTAGAGGAACAAGGCACCCAGTCTAGGCAGGCTGACAAGTAGCCTGAGGGCTTGCTATTGGGTGGGGCCGGTCTCTAGGGCAGGCTGCCTGCCCTGGCTGAAGTGTATTAAATCTGTGCTCTAGTGGGTGTGGCAGACCCCTGGGCTATCAGGCCAGGGGAAGCATTTCAATGGTGTCTGCCAGGTCTGTGTCAGCACACCTGTACTAGGTCACAACAATGGCTGCCACCAATGTCTCAGTCTCTGGGGAGGTCTCACCTCTCATCGAGATGCATCCAGAGCCTACCAGGTGAGTCTCTCTTCACCAAAGGACTGTGAAGCTTTCTTTTTGGAGATTTTAGGTTGCTCTCTGAGACAGTGAATTTGTGTGTGGGCCCTTTAAGACTCGGGTCTTATCGGCTTCATTGGATAGCTTTTCTGGGAGTATTCCCCGCTTCAGTTAATAGCCAGCGAAGCCAGGTAATAAGACACTCGTCTCAGTTATGCTGAATCTGAAGGGTGCTTATAGCAGTAATGGGCCCCCGCTAAGGTCCCCACTCCTCCAAGAAGGGCTGCATACCTTAGGTTGGCTCCTGCCCTGCCAGCTGTGGAGCTCTGGGGCTCATGAAGGTGGCTTTTTTTCCTCTCCAGAAGGAATTTCTGCCTCTTCCGCCTCAGTCAGGACAGTCCCTTGTTGTGGGGGTTCTTTTTATCCAGTTTTCAGTTTTCTCTCCAGGGTAATTTTTCCAAGAATAGTTGTAACCTGGTTGTGTTTGTGGGAGAAGGGGAGTTCAGAGTCTACCTATGCTGCCGTCTTGACGAGATCTCACTGTATAACAACAGTACCACAAACTTAGTTTAAAGCAATGTACACTTATTATCTCATGATTTCTATGAGTCAAGAGTCAAGGCATGGCTTAACTGGGTACTCTGCTTTGAGGTGTCACAAGGCTGTAGTAAGGTGTCAGCCAGAACTGAAGTGTCATTTAATACTGCTTCCAAGCTCACGTGGTTGTTGGCAGCATCCAGTTCTTTGTGAGTTGTCAGACTTGGGGTGTCGGTTTCTTTCTGCTGTCAGTCAGAGACCACCCTCCTTTCCTTGCTCTGTAGGCCTTCCTAACATGGCTGCTTCCTCAAAGCCAACAAGGGAAAGAGAGTCCTCAGCAAGATGGGCTATGTAACATAATCATGTACTTTTCATCACTTTTGCCATAGTCTGTTGGTCAAAAGCAATCATAGATTCTGTCCACACTCCAGGGGAGATTACACAAGGGTGTAAGTATCATGAGGGAATTGTGGGGGCCACATTTAGAGTGTGTCTGACACACGGTTTTACAGTCCTCAAAAATGTACAAAGTGTGCCTATCGTGGAAAAACTACTGATAGTATTCTTGCCAATGATAAAATTTGAACTTTCAAGCAAAGATTTGAAGTTTGGATAACTTACATCTGCATTCTGAAACAATTGCCCCTTGTACCCTGGACTAGTCTAAGAAACTGGAATGAAAATGAGAGAATTGAGTGTTGATTCTGTTTTTGTTCATAACTAGAGCATAGTCATAACCTCTCTGGGCTCCACTTTCTTCATTTCTAAAATGAAAATGTTTACCCAGACCACTGGTTCTCAAACTTGGATCCCGTAAGCATCCACAGGCCGCTTTAATGTTTTTAAAAACTTAATAAGTGAGGGGCTGGCCCCGTGGCCAAGTGGTTAAGTTCATGTGCTCTGCTGTAGGAGGCCCAGTGTTTCGTTGGTTTGAATCCTGGGCGCGGACATGGCACTGCTCATCAAACCACGCTGAGGCAGCATCTCACATGCCACAACTAGAAGGACCCACAACGAAGAATATACAACTATGTACTGGGGGACTTTGGGGAGAAAAAGGAAAAAATAAAATCTTAAAAAAAAAACTGAATAGGTCTATCTGAAGATGGCATGTGTCAATTGAAATAAAGAGTCTAGGTAAAGGTTAAATGAAGGAGTTTATTCCATAATCAAAGTGAGGAACTCGAGTCCTGGGAAATAGTCCAACAGAGTGTTCTGAGGAACTGCTCCAAGGTCCACAGATCTGAGTGTAAATTATATACTTTTAAACAAAGCAGTGTACGTGCAGGAAAGGGCTTATTCATCTAATAGCCACATACTTCAAAGATAACATAAACAAGAATTTTTTGGTTATATGTTAAACAAGGCTTGGAATGTTGGTGTTATCTATGTGTGGAGGGAGGCAAGGCCAGGGTTGGTGAATTTTCCCTTAATCTCCAAGAAGCACAGCTGGGGAAATGTACAGCAGGTACCTTTTATCTTTTCCTGTTGTGGATCTGTCCAGCTGGCACCTTCAGTCATGAGATGTGGGGTTGCAAGGTCATTCTAACCCAAGCTTAGGATAGCCCAAGTGGCTGCTTCATAGCACAGTATGGATTTTAAGCCTATGTAGCTCACTTGTTAGATTCACCTATTACACCAGGGAGAGGAGTCCCAAAAGTTTGTTCACACAGGCCACCAGAAATTTAAAAATTATTTGAGTTTTAGCTAGAATCGGATTAACTCAGTGGTTTTCTCATGCTATCATAAGCTGTTTGATATTTAAGAAAAACAAAAAAGGAAACGTTATTTAAATGCAAATAGATGAAAAATCGTCCCTAACTGGGTCCGAGGAGAACAAATAACAAAGAGTCAGGGGTGGACGGTGGTGATATCTTTCGTATTAGAAAAGTTAGAAACTAGAGCTCATTGAAACTCAGAATTTTTTGTTTCTGTGGGTATGCTTGTTTAATCAAAGCTCCTCAATCAAATTCCCAATCCTAGGGAGCTTTTTTTCTTTGTATTTGCTGAGGCAGAGTAGCCCTGAGCCAACATCTGTGCCAATCTTTCTCTATTTTGTGTGTGGGTTGCAGCTGCAGCATGGCTGATGAGTGGAGTAGGTCTGCACGTGGAATCCCAACCCACAAACCCGGGCTGCCAAAGCAGAGCACACTGAACTTAACCACTACGCCACAGGGCTGGCCCCTAGGGAGATTCTTCTTTTTATTTGTTTGTTTTCTGTGTGAGGAAGATTGGTCCTGAGCTAACATCTGTTGCCAATCTACCTCTTTTTGCTTGAAGAAGATTGTTGCTGAGCTAACATCTGTGCCAATCTTCCTCTACTTTGTATATAGGATGCTACCACAGCATGGCTTGATGAGCAGTATGTAGGCCCAATCCAGGATCCAAACTGGCAAACCCTGGACTGCCGAAGAGGAGTACGAAAACTTCACCAGGCTGGCCCCACCTAGGGAGCTTTTTAAAAGTAGAGATTTTTGTCAGTTGGTCTGGGGCGAGGCCTGGGCATGATAGATTTTTTTAAAAACTCTCCAGGTGATCTCATGTGCAGCCAGGGTCTAGAATGACAGATATATATTCTCAAATGAATTGAGAATGCTGTGTAAGGGAATTTTCTCTGAAATTTTTGAACTTTTTTATTCTTTTTACTTCAACATCTCAGGCAGGCAGCCAGGGAAATAATTATTATTACCCCTTTTAAAGTCAGTGTGATACAGCTTAAGGGCACAAGCTGTACAATCAGGCCAACCTGGGTTCTGATTCGAGCTTCATCATCGATAACAAGCTGGGTTGTACTGGGAAACTTACTTCACCATACTTAACCTTAGTTTACTTATTTAGGCAATGAGATAATATCAGGCCTTTAGTACTGTTGTGACAACTGCTTGATGGACTACATGTACTGTGAAAGAGGCAAGTACATTTTAAATAGACAACAATTGGTGGCTATTGTTTCAGTTGGAAAGATGAATAACTTGAATCTCAGAAATGACTTGCCCAAGTTGCATAGTTAAATAAATGGACATCTGAAGCCAAGTCTATTGCCTGTTGTACTTTACCATTGTATTTGGTATCTTGCTGAACTATTTTATGAGATATAAAAAGTTCCCAGTTGAAGAATTATTTTATCAAGTTATTTGTTGAATAATGTGTCTGCTCCCTGAAATGGTGGTACTTAATTAAGCAGAGTTATCACCTCAAAAAGGTTTACAGCATTAACTTCATTTGGAGGAACTTCTGTTAAAGATCGATTTTGGAAATTGCTAGTGAATATCTTCCATTTTTAAGTGCAGATACAAGGCTCAAATGCAGAAATCTACTTCGTATGCTTCAAATTCTAGGAATGAGATGGTTTGGGTCACTTCAATATTTGTCTCCATAACTTCTCAACAAACCCATGTCAACAGAAAACTTAGTAGAGAAATAAAATTCTTAAAACCTGATTGTCTCTCAGCTTGTAAGCAAAAACACGCAAGTAAGATCCTTATACTCCTATTGTAAAGGTCATACGTATTGGGCGGATAGAAAAGAAACAGAGGAGAATACATACTATATTTTGGTTTTATTTTCTGCAGATGGTTAGTGTGGTATGTAGCGTGTATCAATCACGACTATATTTTATGCACAGATATCAGTTCCTCTTTTTTCGCTAAACTTTATATTGGGAACATTTTTCTTTATCTTGGATAGTTCTCAAAAAACGATGTTGCACGATAATCTATTTAATTTATTTAACCATTCCTCCATTGTTGGACATATAGGTTTTTAATTTTTGCTATTAGAAATAATTCTCCATTAAATGTTTTGATTTCCTTAGCATAAATTCTTAGAAGTGGAATATTTGGAATAATTGGATCAAAGGGTATGAACACTTTAAAGCCATTGATAGATACTGCCAAAATTTTCTTGCAGGAATGTTGTGCCAAAATATAGCCTCTACTTTGCCAATAATATTATCTTATTTTTTTTCTGAGGAAGACTAGCCCTGAGCTAACATCTGTTGTCAATCTTCCTCTTTTTTTTGCTTGAGGAATATTAGTCCTTAGCTAACGTCTGTGCCATCTTCCTCTGCTTTATATGTGGGTCTCCGCTTCAGCACGGCTGATGAGTGCTGTAGGTCCATGCCCGGATCCGAACCCACAAACCTGAACCACTGAAGTGGAGTGTGCCAGACAAACACTAGGCTATGGGGCCAGCCTCTAGCGTTATTTTTTAACTTTATTTTTTTATTTCAAACTAATTTTAGATTTCCAGAAAAATTACAAAAATAATCCAGAGAGATCCCATATACCCATTACCCAGTAGATGCTAATTTTGACAGAGAGTAATAATTACCTTGGTGTTTTATAACTTATTAGTAATTGATTCATTAAGGTTATCTTTATAGTATTGGCATACAGTTAAATTTACCTTTATAAAAGTTTATGAAACAAAATAATTATAACTTTTTACAGGATTTTACAAAGAATTCATCACAAGTTGAATCGGATGATTCTCCAGATTTACTGTTTGACTTGACCCAGGATACAATACCACTATCTCAAGAGGGATCAACAATTTATATAGAAGGTTTGGTTTAGCACTTTGTATAAATGTAGTAACAAGAGACTTGATGAATATACATATATGGAATGAATTTCTGTTTTGAAGTCCATACCTTCATGTTAAGTTTTCATATATTATAAGATAGAAACTAATAGTTCTTGAATGCTTTTCTTGGATGATTTTATGTAAAACTGTATTTAATAATAGAATATTTTATTTCCTTCTATTAAATTGGCTAATATGTATTCTTTGAGTTCATTCTCACTTGGAACCAGACATAAGCTGAAAAATCTTAATCTAATTTCTGAGAGTCCGAGAAGTCCCCTGATGCCCTAATACTATGGTTTTAAAAAAGTATTAATTATTAGGAGGGCCATTAGTATGAGAAAAAGTGTATAGTTATCAATGATTTCTTAACAGGCTAGTGTCTTTCTATCCAAATAATGATGTAGATGTGATAGTTAAATATGATTATAGAGTAGTATTATAAAGTGGCAGTACTAAAGAAATAGTGATTTGCACATAGTAAGTACTCAGTAGATATCCATTGAAGGAGAAATGAAAATCTCCAAGTGGAGAAGAATTACAGTTCTTTGATTGTATACCATAACATTCATTCATTCATTAGCCTGAATTAAATTAGTATGCCATGAAGTAATTTTATCTAGTTGAAAAATTCCCTATAATCAAAGCAATTACTGTTTCTGTATTAGCAAATTTGATATATTTCACTAAATGGTGAGAGGTACAAAATTTTTTTTGCATGTTTAAATTGTTTACTAACAAATAAGTATGTGTTTACCAAACCAAAATAGAAAGACGTTTATAGTAATATATGTGCCAAAAATATTTTTCCATTTTTGCTGATACTTGATTGGATATTCACCTACCTAGGTGTCACTTATCTAGTTAGTAAGATAACCAAGAACCAAAATAAACAAAGAGATACAAGAGTTGTCTGAGACCTGATTTTATAAGCACATGGTATTTATTCATAGAAAGAGTCTGAATTCTTGAAGCTTCTATGGGGTAGAGAGAGTGGCTCCCAGTCTCTCTCTTTAAGTTGTTTATACTGCAGGGAGTGGAGCTTTGCCCTGATGGAAGAGATAAATAGGGTTATAGTTGACTAGGAAGATAGAGGGTTGAGCCTCTGTTCTGAAGACTTTTGTGGCCTTCACCACATCACCTAACATCTTGACACCTCAATTTTCTCATATTATTAAAGTAGCTGCTTTTACTTTTCTCATTTAATGTCTTCATTCTCTAGACCTCCATCAGCCATTTGGAGAGATCATTTTAATTCTTGCTCTACTCATCTCAGGGCTTTTTTGAGGCTCAAATGGGATAAGTGAGAAGTGAAAAATGCATTAAAGCTTTAAAGGACTTAACGATAAACATTCGTTAGAATGATAATTATGAATAGTATGTGCCATGTGTTCGGAAGCGTTGTTAATGGACACCTGTCTAGGATGATCATAAAAGCCTCTTGGAGAAGGTTGGGTTTGAACTTGATTTTGAAGAAGGAGAATAGGATTTCTGTTGGCCTCCGTTGAGGATAGTGAATAGCACAAGCCAAAAGCAACAGAGATAAATAAGTTAAAGAGAATTTAGAACTAGTGAGCTCACAGCAATTTTAATTGAGTAATTAATGAGTTCAGAGATTTACTTGTGCTTTAAAAAAATTAGATATAAAACACTCTATTTTCACTATACAATCTGCTAGATCATCAGTCTCCTAGTCCAAAACACCAGCACTCATTGCTTGTTCAAGTAACCTAAGCATCTGAGAAGAATGTTAGCGCAATTGCACAGAAATCAGTTCCAAGTGCCTGCGGTATAGCTCTCCGTAATCATGTGCTTGAAGATGGAAAAAGTCATTTCCATGTTATCTCGAAGAATGAGACACAGATTTGACAGAGGAGCCCACTGACGTAAAACTCTTATTTCCTGGCATATGTCTGTTCTACCGCTTCTCCTATTGCTGTACAGTTGGGAGCATTAAAATATCATGTGCAGTGTTACAATCTTTATCACAAAGTACAATTGTGTGTTATTTTTAAAAGGGCTTTTGCTGGGTCTGGTTATAGCCCGAATAGCCCCAGTTCTCTTGCAAATGCCCTAGATTACATAATCCTTTAGCTTTTAAGGTGATGGTTTTCAAACTCAAAACTATTTTTATCAATGAAATTTCTATTCAAACAAAATTTTATGTAAAAGTCTGAAAAAAAAGGTAAAAGGAGAGTTTGTCTATCTGATATGCCCACTCTGTTTCCTAAGACAGAATCATTAGGCTCAGGGGAACATAATTTGAAAGCCATTATACTAACTCCAAGCCGTTTCATATGAATGAGTGAGGTAGTATCATTCAAGAATAGTTATTTCTGGGGCTGGCCCCATGGCCGAGTGGTTAAGTTCACGCGCTCCGCTGCAGGCGGCCCAGTGTTTCGTTGGTTCGAATCCTGGGCGTGGACATGGCACTGCTCATCAAACCACGCTGAGGCAGCATCTCACATGCCACAACTAGAAGGACCCACAACGAAGAATATACAACTATGTACCCGGGGGCTTTGGGGAGGAAAAGGAAAAACATAAAATCACACACACACAAAAAAAGAATAGTTATTTCTACTTTGTACATAGGGAATAGATACATAATTTAAACCACCTATCAGGTTAAGTGGAGAAAGAGCCAACTTGAGATTTCCAATAGACATCTGAAGTTTTTTTAAAGTATTTTAAAGGATTTGTCTATATTTTTAGAATAGAAATTGTTTTTGTTTATAAGCTCAAATGTATTTAAGCATCTAAAGATAAGTTCATCTTTTGGAACTGAACTTAAAGTGTTCTCTGTACTTCAATTTTTTTTTCTCTTTTTCTTGTTTGGAATTTTTTTGGTCTGACTTCTTTCGTGATGCCTATTTATGTATTTCTTCAATTGAAAGCATCTGTAGGATTTTCTTGCATAAGAAGTTTATTTCATGAATTGTTCGAATATTCGTAGTCCATAATAGCTGTTGTGCAATTTCTTTCTACCTATTGATCATAAAAATTTGGATCATTATTTGTTGTCCTTTGTATAATATTGTAATTTCATTATATTATCGGTAATTTAGCTCCAAAGTATTTTTCCCTAATTTTAAATGTAAGGCCATTTTAGTAGTATTTGTAAGTAACGTTCTAAACTGAAGCATTTACAAATATCTTTCCCACCATTTCGATCGTTGCAGCTTTGGATGAAACTCTGCCTATATTAAAACGTCCTTCTACTGCTAAAGTAAACAGTGTTAATCCAAAAAAGCGCAAGACCAGTGAAGGTATTCCTGAAAAAAATCCTTGCACTTCATTGTCTTTAGCGAACTCTCCTTCAGTGACACCCTCCCACGTTATGATATCAAAAGGTAAATATGAAGCTGGCGTATTAAAAAATTGTATTATTTATACATAAATTTTAGAAATTGTGGTGAATTTTAAAACCATTATTACTGCTTGTTGAAGGTTTAAGAAAGAAGAATTTGAGTCATAAAAGTCCTTAATTTATTTTAGGTACAAATACCTCATCAACTCACCATAAAACTGGAACACCGTTTCTAAGATCTTGTCCGAAGTGCAATGTTCAGTTCAATCTTTTGGATCCTTTGAAATATCACATGAAGGTAAAACTTTTTCAAAATTAGATTTTTTTAAATATTCACAAATCTCTGTAACATTAAGGATTGCTATCTAATAAATGCTAGTTTGTCCACATATTTAGATAAGGAATCTTCTCATTGGTGTTTTCATATAACTTAACGAAAATTGAAATTCATAATGATTATCTTTACACAAGATTTTAAAATCCTTCTCAATCAAAATTTAAAAATTAAGTTTATATATACTATAGTCCATGCATACTGTATTTTCATTTTTAATGAAAATAATGTTTTAATCAGAATATTTTGTTGACTCGGTCATGCCATTCTTCAAAATTCTTATAAAGAAAGCACTTTATTAGGTGCTTAGTCTTTAATGTAACTTAAAAATTGTTTTTTTACCTTATTTTTTGTCCATGGTGACATATTCATGTCACATTACTCAATGAAAATCTTAGTCTTGCATTTTAATTTTAAACACTCGGATGGAAAGTAATGGTGGAGCGTTTACTATGAAATGACGGCTTTAACTCAATCCATAATATAGTTTGTGTAGTTATAGATTAATTCTAGCTTTATATTGGCGTAGGAAGCTCTTGAAATTAGGTTTTAGGTAATTTTCAAAGTACTAATGAAGTATGCGGTTTAGGTATCACTCCACTGAAAATATTTTAGTAGCTCTCACAGTGTTCTGTGTGTCCGTGGAAAGGTAGTCTGTATTGTTCTTGCATGCCCCGTATACACAGCAGGAAGGAGGAAAGGAGGCAAGAAAAAAGGCAATGTAGATATATGCAAGGTAGAAGGCCTGAGAAGAGTGCAAGGCAAAGAAGCCACTTAGGAAAAGTTATTGCTCGCTATTTCAAAGATTGGCAAATTTTTCATTGAAATTCAACCTTTTACAAAAAAATATAGAAAGGAAAGGAGCATTATGAAATTCCAAATACCATCTCTTTATTGTTTGGCAAAAGTATATTTGATCTATCACTGTTTCCACGTCCCTGGGTGTGACTCCTGTTAGCTGTTTTGGTTTCAGTTAAGAAGTAACTTCTACAAGCGCTTTCACTTTTCCTATTTATGTAATATTCTGTAGAGATAGTTGATGTTTTTACATTTTACATTGTAGATAGGGAAAAGATAAGGCTGTGTTTTTTAGTTATCTTTAGTGTATTTAATGGGGGGGGGGTAATATAGTCACGTGATTCAAAGAGTGTAAGAAGGCATGCAGTGAAAAATCTCACCCCGTCCCTCGATTAGCCTGGTTCCCAATACGACTCACAAAGGAATTTTTTTTTATTGCAACTTTTTTGGTGAGATTGGCCCTGAGCTAACATCTGTTGCCAATCTTCTTTTTTCTTTTTCTCCCCAAAGCCCCAGCACACAGTTGTATAGCCTAGTTCTAAGTCATTCCAGTTCCTCATTTTCCATCTATTTTATACAGAAATCATAGCATATTATATATACTTCTGCACCTGGAGAAAATGGCTTTCTCTAAAATGTAGGTTTATTTGTTGTGGCATTCTTTTTGATTAAAACTATGAGAGACGTTTTGCTTCTTGGCCTTTTTGCTAAGTGTAAAACTTAAGAGAGACATTTACATTTTATCTTGTACATCTTTATTTATCAGTTAATTTTTATAATATTACAGTAAGGATGTCCATTTTGAAAAAAATGTGTTTTCGACTATTTGTGACTGATCTTTTGCTTTTATTATAGATAAGTAGATTATAATACCCCAGAGATAATGTTTTCTTCCAAAAGAAGAATATTTAGAGTGTAAGCCAAATATCCTACTGATCTAAGACACAGTACTAAACTTGAAAATATTATTTCATTTAATCCTTAGAAAATTCTTTAGGATAGATCTTTTTCTTTGTTTTAATAGCCAGTTGATTGGCATAGCTGAGATTCAAATCTCACTCTTTTTTTTTTTTTTTGAGAAAGATTAACCCTGAGCTAACTACTGTCAATCCATCTCTTTTTGCTGAGGAAGACTGGCCCTAAGCTAACATCTATGCCCATCTTCCTCTGTTTTATATGTGGAATGCCTACCACAGCATGGCTTGCCAAGCGGTGCCACGTCCGCACCCAGGATCCAAACCAGCGAACCCTGGGCTGCTGAGAAGCGGAATGTGCGAACTTAACCGCTGCGCCACCGGGCCGGCCCCTCAAATCTCAATGTCTTTGATGGCAAAGCCCAGATTTTCACGCTTTCCTCCCCATTTTGAAAATTGTAGGGGCTATTTTCTTGAATGTTACATGGAAACTTGAAAAGAAGGGGTGTTATTTGTTTTTAGGGTATGAAATTTGTTAGTTATCAGTCAGATCTAATGTACTAATATGTCATTTGGGTTCCTATATCTTTACTTATATTTGTCTGCTTTCTCTGTCATGGTTCGAGAAAAGTCTTAGAGTCTCACATTACCACTGCTTTCTTTGATATCTTCCAATTCTGTTTTATGGTTGTTACTATTTAGGATATAGATGGATCTCTCTCTTCGAACTTCATTCTGAATGTGCCCTTTAGCATTTGAATACAGTGTTTCCTTTTTGCCCTGGATTCAATTTTGTTTGATATCAGACTCACAATCCTTGATTTCTTATTATTTCCATTGGCCTGTATATTCTTTATCTTTTTATTTTCAACCCTTCCAAATAACTTTGTTTTTGTTACGTGTCTTGCTAACACAAGAGTTGTGTTTTCTTTTGTGATCCTACGTGGAATTTCTTTTTTTAGTACTTAAGTTAAACTCTTTTGCATTCATTGATAGGATAGATTTAATTGGTCTTGATTCTGTCACAATTTTGTGTTATGCTTTCTTTATTTTTTAAGTCTTTCACCTTGTAGTTACATTGTGTGTATGTAGTTTGGGTTTTTAGGAAAGTTTATATTTTTGCTCTCTAGATATTCTTAAAGAATTCTTCTAGAGAAATTCTACAACTGAAAAGTGTGTACAATAAATGAATTCATTTTATCTCATTGAAAATAAAAAGCTCATGTATGAAAGTATTCCACATTAGGCTCAGTTTATATGAGGTCTTGACTTTATTCATGAGGTAAATTTCCCCTTCAGGTATTTCATCATTCTAGACAGAATGTATTGAGGTTTTCAGGTTGTAACTAATGCTTCTTTCTTTGTGTCCCATGCATTTTCTAGCACCTTGAGTCGGGAGAATGGCAGGTTACTTGTGCTCAAAGTCCAGTTCCAGCCAGGCTTTACTGAAATGCTACTGTCTTATTTGATAGTTAAGCAATACTAACTATCTTATTTGATAGTTAATGGCAAATAAAACTGTCTTTCCTTTTAAGCTGTATCGGCACACAGATATGAAACGTATGATTTTTGGCAAAGGAACAAATTATTGTTAAATATTTACATCTGAAAAGTTGAATTGTGAGGAAAAAGGTTTAGATATACAGGCAGCTCTCCATATCGGCATGTTCTGCATCTGTGTATTCAGCCAGCCACAGATCCAAAGGCCTACAATGGTTGCATCTGTAACTGAATGTGTACGGACCTGTTTTTCTTATCATTAGTCCCTAAATAATACAGTATAACAACTATTTACATAGCATTTACATCGCACTAGGTATTATAAGTAATCTAGAGATGATTTAAAGTATGGGGAGGATGTGCGTAGGTTATATGCCAGTACTCTGCCATCTTATGTAAGGAGCTTGAGCATCCGCGGATGTGGTATTGTGGGGGGGCCTGGAAACAATTCCTCCTGGATACCAAGGGATGACTGTATAGCCATCCGTGATCTTAAAGTTTTCCATTTGTTTTTGAAGTCATTTCCTTATGAAGATAATAGGTATTTGTTTGAATCTTTTAGACTACATGAAGGAAGAAGCCAACATTTTGGCGACCATCTTTCCAGATATATTGCCAAACGTAGTTCTGTGTGAGCTGACCCTAGTTTATAAACACAGAAACATTTTTTGAAATGTAATTTTTTAAAAAGATATAAGTAAGGCTTATGTATTTTTTTCTCTTTCAGCGTTGTTGTCCAGACATGGTAAATAAATTTTTGGAAATGGTTAAAGTAGAACTTTCAAGTACTGAAAATAAAAATAAGACTGGTGCAGAGAAAGGAAAATTGATCATGTTAGTTAGTGACTTTTACTACGGAAGACATGAAGGAGCTGTTGACGATGAACAGAAGACTTACACAACCTTTAAATGCTTCAGTTGCTTGAAAGTTCTTAAAAATAATATTAGGTATGTAAATACTTATTTCTATTTCTGTTTGAATACTGGAATGCTGCAGATGTAAACCTTGTATGTTTCCTTTTCAGTGCTATCCTAGATAAGCAATTTTACCACTTTCTACTAAGAACAGAGACAGATTATCAAGCTGAAAAGCTTTTGTCCTTGCTTGTATCTTAGGAGTTTGACACTTGGATCCACGTAGTTGTGTTTCTTTCAAATAGCTTAAGAAATGACAAAGTTTGTTTTAACCTAGGGGAAAATTACTTCTTTTCTCTATATTTATCATAGAACTAGGAGTTTTCATGTGACATTGTTATTTTTTAGCTGTTTTTGAATCTTACTTTTCCTATCACAAGAAGAACCACTTTATCCAGTTTGACCTTTTCCATACCATCTACATTTAATGCTCTAAATTTTTAATTCACATTTATAATTTTTAGCACATTTACCTTGCAGAAAAAGTGATCTTTTTTGGTGATCTTTAAAGTTTCATGAAACATGCCTGTTTGATTTTATAACTTAACACATTTTAAAAGTAGAGATTTAATTCTCAATGGAATTCTGAAGATTTACACATGTATGCTTTAATTTTTAGGAACTTATACTTTGCAGTCTTTGAGTTATGTGGTATATTACATATATATCATCTTAAGTGAGATAGTAACAAGACATATTGACTAGTATTTTTCATTGGTTTTATAGCTTGGCATTGTTTTTCCAATATTTTATTATAAAGATTTTCAGATATTCAGCAAAGTTGAAAAATTTCTACAGTGAACATCTGTATATTAACTACCTCAGTTCTACTGTTAATATTTTACTGTACTTGTGTTACCACATAACTATTTATCCATAGACCCAGCTGATTTTTTTGATACTTTTCAGAGTAAATTGCAGACATCAGTGTACTTAGGTGAGATATATGTATGTATAGGTATATATGTACCTATATCGTGACACACACACACACACATATACAAACTTTTAAAAATATTTACCCTTGATAACCATCACTTGTGACTAGCATTCTTAAGCATCATATAGGTCATTTCTAAGCCCAGCATTTATTTTCTGGAGAATTCTTGGGTCCAAAATGAAATACATTACAAAAACGTTGAAATATACTGTAATATAAACCTAAAACAATTATGAATGCTCTGTTTATGGTTAGTGCTTTATGGTTTTCAAAGATCTTCCACATGTATTATTCATGTGAGTTTTCATACTTCTTTACCTCCTTTTATCGCCCCTCACAGCCATCAGTTGCCAATGATCCCAGTAGCTTAACAGAAGAGAAATTGTGCCTTAAGAGGTGTAACACTGAAACAATGTTATGATAGAACTCTGTGACTTCCTTCCATGTTTTTACAGTAAAATACATCAGACAATGTTAGTAAGCCTGGAAAAATGCATAGAAAAGTGGTTCACTTGTTAAGTTTCCCGTTATACTTAAATATGCATATGATAGTAGAAGTTCTTTCAGCAATAACTCTGTGGGTGTTTCTTCAAGATTAGCCCACTTGGTGTTAAACATGAAATTTTTTCTTTTTATTTCAAAAGACTGGTTACAGATTTCTAGATTATCAGACTATCTAGAAATTTTGTGGCATTTTTTGACTTATTATTTAGTAAATGAAACCTGAGCATTAAACACTGAATAACCAAAGATGTTTTATGTGTTAAACATCACATCCTCATGTGCATGAGGAGCGAGTGGAGTGTGTGGGGCATTGATGGGGTGTGTGGATGCCTCTGCAGTGGGATGACTGGGTCTGCTCCAGGGGAACAGGACATGTGCACAAGCCAGGACTGTGTTGATGGTGTGTGTGGACCTGTGGGCCATGGGGCTTGTCAGTGGCAGAAGACCTGTGCCTCTCAAACAGCCACATAGGGGATCAGCCCCACCTTCCAAAGCCTGAAACAATTAGGTGCTCCTGTACTGGGGCCAGCCTAACTCTGCTGCAATCCTGAGAGAGCTGACAACAGCCTTGCAGGCTGGAGGCATACAGCAATTGTAAGCCCCTGAGCCTAGCAACCGGCTACACTGAGGGCCTACTCACTTAACAGAAAAACTGCAACAGGAATGTGCTATTAGATGTTGCAACCATCTGTCCTGGGGCTCCCTAACCCAATAAAGTGACTGAAGGGACCCCAGCAGCCACACGCAGCCGAGCATTACAGCCAGCCAGCCAGGGGGACAACCTAGCCTCCCAGGGCACCTGCGTAAGAGCAGCCCTGCCACAACAGAAGGACACACATAGCCCACACAGGGGTCACTCCTGAAACATTTGGAACTGGTGACGAAAGGGAAGCACACTGCTGGGCCTCATAAGATATCTCTTACATAAGGCCACCTCTCCAAGATCAGGAGATGTAGCTGACCCACCTAATACATAAATATAAGCACAAAGAGACAAAACAAGCAAAGGAACAGGACAAAACCCCAGAAAAGAACTAAATGAAACAGAAATAAACACTCTGTCTAACAAAGAGTTCAAACAAAAGGTCATAAGGATGCTCCCTGATCTTGGGAGAAGAATGGATGAACTCAGTGAGAATGTCAACAAAGAATTGGAAAATATAAAAAAGAGCCAATCAGAAAAGAAGAATACAATACTGGAAATGAAAAATTCACTAGAGGGGCTCAATAGCAGAGTAGATGATACAGATCAGCAAGCTGGACAAAAGACTAGAGGAAATCACCCAAGCTGAAAAGATAAACAAAAAAAGACTTAAAAAGAATGAAAACATTCTAAGGGAACTGTGGGACAACATCAAGCACACTAACATTTGTATTATAGGTATCCCAGAAGGAGAAGAGAGAGACAAAGGGGCAGAGAATCTATTTGAGAAAATAATAGCTGAAAATTTTCCTATCCTAAAGAAGGAAACAGACATCCAAGTACTGGAAGCACAGAGAGCACCAAACAAGATAAACCCAAAGACGCCCACACCAAGACACATAATGATTAAAATGTGGAAAATTAAAGATAAAGAGGGAGTCTTAAGAACCACAAGAGAAAGGAAATGTGACATACAAAGGAAACTCCTTAAGACTATTAGCTGACTTCCCAGCAGAAACCTTACAGGATAGAAGGGAGTGGCATGATGTATTTAAAGTCCTGAAAGGAAAAACCCTACAAACAAGAATACTCTACCCAGCAAGGTTATCATTCAGAATGGAAGGAGAGATCAAGAGTTTCCCAGACAAGCAAAAACTAAATGAGTTTATGAATAATAAAATCAGTTTTACAAGAAATGTTAAAGGGACTTATTTTAGTGGGAAAGAGAAGACCACAAAGAGGAATAAGAAAATTATCCCCAAAAGGGCAATAAAATCACTGGTAAAGGCAAAAATACAGTAAAGGTAGCACATCAACCACATATGAAGATAATATGAAGGTCAAAAGTACTAGAATTACCTATTTCAATGATAAGAGAGTAATGGATATAAACAAAATAAGAGGTTTGATATGATATCAAAAACTTAAAATGTGGGAGGAGGTGAGTAACTTTAACAGTCTACTTACACCAATGGATAGATCATCCAAACAGAAGATCAATAAGGAAACATTGGCCTTAAACAACATATTAGACCAGATAGACTTAGTAGATGTATATAGAACATTACATCCAAAAACCACAGAATACACATTCGTTTCAAATGCAAATGGAACATTCTCCAGGATTGGTCACATTAGACCACAAAACAAGTCTCAGTAAATTTAAGAAGATTGAAATAATACCAACCATCTTTTCTGACCAAAAAGGTATGAAACTAGAAATCAACTTCAGGAAGAAAATCGGAAAAGCTACGAATATGTGGAGATTAAACAAAACACTATGGAACAATGATTGAGTCAATGAAGAAATCAAAGGAGAAATCAAAAAATACCTAGAGACAGGGACCAGCCCGGTGGTGTAGCAGTTAAGTTCACTCACTCCACTTCAGTGGCTGGGGTTTGCCAGTTCATATGCCGAGTGCAGACCTATACACTGATTATCAAGCCATGCTGTGGCAGGTGGCCCATATATAAAATAAAGGAAGATGGGCACAGATGTTAGCTCAGGGCCTGTCTTCCTCATCAAAAAGAGGAGGATTGATGGTCAGTGTTAGCTCAGGGCTAATAGTCCTCCAAAAAAATACCTGGAGACAAATGAAAATGATAATACAACTGGCAAAATCTATGGGATACAGCAAAAGTGCTTCTAAGAGCAAAGTTTATAGCAATACAGGCCTACCTCAACAAACAAGAAAAATCCCAAATAAACATTCTAACAGTATGCCTAAAGGAACTGGGAAAAGAAGAACAAATGAAGCCAAAAATCAGTAAAAGGAAGGAAATAACAAAAATCAGAGCAGAAATAAATGAAATAGAGACTAAAAAAAGAATAGGAAAAAACCAATGAACCGAAGAGCTGGTTCTTTGAAAAGATAAACAAAATTGACAAACTTTTAGCTAGACTCACCAAGAAAAAGAGAAAGAAGGCTCAAGTAAGTAAAATCAGAAATGAAACAGGAGAAATTACAATGGACACCTCAGAAATACAAAAGATTATAAGAGAATACAATGAAAAGCTATATGCCAACAAATTGGATAATCTAGAAGAAATGGATAAATTCTTAGAATCATATAACCCTCCAAAACTGAATGAAGAAGAAATAGAGAAGTTGAATAGACCAATCACCAGTAAGGAGATCGAAACAGCAATCAAAAACTTCCCAAAAAATAAAAGTCCAGGACCAGAGGCTTCCCTGGTGAATTCTACCAAACATTCAAAGAAGACTTAATACCTATTCTCCTCAAACTCTTCCAAAAAATTAAAGAGGAGGGGAGGCTTCCTAACTCATTCTGCAAAGCCAACATTACCCTGATACCAAAAGCAGACAAGCACAACACAAAAAAAGAAAATTACAGGCCAGTATCACTGATGAACATCAATGCAAAAATCCTCAACAAAATCCTAGCAAGTCAAATACAACAACACATTAAAAAGATCATACACCATGATCAAGTGGGATTTATTCCAGGGATGCAGGGATGGTTCATGTGCAAATCAATCAACGTGTTACACCACATTAACAAAATGAATAAAAATCACTTGATCATCTCGATAGATGCAGAGAAAGCATTTGACAAGATACTGCATCCATTTATGATAAAAACTCTAAGTAAAATGGGTATAGAAGGAAAATACCTCAACATAATAAAGGCCGTATATGACAAACCCACAGCAAATATCATTCTCAGTGGAGAAAAACTGAAAGCTATCCCTCTAAGAACAGGAACCAGACAAGGACGCCCACTTCCACTCTTATTTAAAATAGTTTTGGAAGTCCTAGCCAGAGCAATCGGGCAAGAAAAAGAGATAAAAGTGATCCAAATTGGAAAGGAAGAAGTAAAATTGTCACTATTTGCAAATAACATGATTTATATATAGAAAATCCTAAAGAATCCACCAAAAAACTTTTAGAAATAATAAGTGAACACAGTCAAGTTTCAGGATACAAAATCAACATACAAAAATCAGTTGTGTTTCTATACACTAACAACGAAGTAGCAGAAAGAAGAATTAGTAATACAATCCCATTTGCAATTGCAACAAAAAGAGTAAAGTACCTAGGAATAAACTTAACCCAAGAAGTGAAAGATCTGTACTTTGAAAACTATAAAACATTGAAAGAAATTGAAGAAGACGCAAAGAAATGGAGAGATATTCCGTGCTCTTGGATTGGAAGAATTAACATCGTTAAAATGTCAATACTTCCTAAAGCAGTCTATAGATTCAATGCAATCCCTATCAAAGTTCCAACAACATTTTTCACAGAAATAGAACAAAGAATCCTAAAATTTATATGAAACAACAAGATCTGACCTTCAATAGCCAAAGGACTCCTGAGAAAACAGAACAAAGCTGGAGGTATCACACTCCCTGATTTCAAAATATGCTACAAAGCCATAGTAACCAAAACAGCATGGTACTGGCACAAAAACAGACACATAGATCAATGGAACAGAATCGAGAGCCCAGAAATGAACCCATACATCTATGGTTTTTTCAGCTAATTTTCAACATGGGAGACAAGAACATTCAACGGAGAATGGAAAGTTTCTTCAATAAATGATGTTGGGAAAACTGGACAGCCACATGCAGAAGAATGAAAGCAGACCGTTATCTTACACCCTACACAAAAATTAACTCAAAATAGATTAAAGACCTGGAAGCATTAAACTTCTAGAAGAAAACATAGGCAGTATGGTCTTCGACATCAGTCTTAGCAACATATTTTCAAGTACCATATCTGGCTAGGCAAGGGAAACAATAGAAAAAAATAAACAAATGGGACTACATCAAACAGAAAAGCTTCTGCACAGCAAAGGAAACCATCAACAGAACAAAAAGCCAACCTAACAATTGGGAGAAGATGTTTGCAAACCATATGTCTGACAAGGGGTTAACATCCAAAATATACAAAAAACTCATACATCTCAACAACAAAAAACTGACAACCCAATTAAAAAATGGTCAAAAGATCTGAACAGACATTTGTCCAAAGAAGATATACAGATAGCCAACAGACACATGAAACGATGTTCAACATCATTAACTATCAAGGAAATGCAAATCAAAACTACAATGAGATATCACCTGACTTCCATCAGAATGGCTATAATTAACAAGACAGGAAACAAGTGTTGGAGAGGATGTAGGGAGAAGGGAACCCTCTTACACTGCAGGTGGGAGTGCAAACTGGTCTGGCCACTATGGAAAACGGTATGGAGATCCTCAAAAAATTAAGAATAGATCTACCATATCATCTAGCTATTCCACTGCTGGGGATTTATCCAAAGAACATGAAAACACGAATGCATAAAGATACATGCACCCCTATGTTCATCGCAGCGTTATTCACAATAGCCAAGACTTGCAAGCAACCTAGGTGCCCATCAGGGGACAAATAGATAAAGAAGATGTGGTGTTTATACACAATGGAATACTACTCAGCCATAAGAAACCATGAAATCGGGCCGTCCCCGTGGCGCAGTGGTTAAGTTTGCACGTTCTGCTTCGGCAGCCCGGGGTTCGCCAGTTCAGATCCCGGGTGCGGACATGGCACCGCTTGGCACACCATGCTGTGGTAGGCGTCCCACATATAAAGTAGAGGAAGATGGACACGGATGTTGGCTCAGGGCCAGTCTTCCTCAGCAAAAAGAGGAGGATTGGCAGCAGTTAGCTCAGGGCTAATCTTCCTCAAAACAAAACAAAAAAACCATGAAATCCAGCCATTTGTGACAACATGGATGGACCTTCAGGATATTATGCTAAGGGAAATAAGTCGGAGGGAGAAAGTCAAATACCATATGATCTCCCTCATAAGTAGGAAGATAAAATCAATGACAAAGAAACACATAGAAACAGAGATTGGATTGGTGGTTACCAGTGGGGAAGCGGGAAGGGAGGAGGGTGAAAGGGGTGATTATGCAGATGTGTGTGGGGATGGATTGTAACTAGTCTTTGGGTGGTGAACATGATGTAATCTATGCAGAAATCAAAATATAACAATGTACACCTGAAATTTATATAATGTTATAAACCACTGTTAGCACAATAAAAAAATTTATTCATGGTAAAAACTAGGATGGCAAATTGCTGGTTTTTAGTGGATGGTAGAAGCTAATAGCTAAAGATTGCTGCTCTCTGCCATGTCAACATATTGTAGGATATTTTTTTTCCTACACCGTGCCACCAAAACCAGTTAGGGCTATTTTCTTCTGAGAATAGCCTTGTGAGGGGTTTGCTCTTACCCACATCTCCTTCTACTGGTTTGAGAAGTGTGCGCTGCTGATGGGGGCAGCGTAATAATTGAGAGATAGCCAGTTGCTTAAAGGATTATTTTATATCAATAGATTTTATTACTTAAAGTTATGAGTTGAAAAAGTAATGGCTCGTGACCTTTATATGTAAATATTTAGGCAAGACTAGGATTTTTAAAAATAGATTTTAATAGAGGTGATGTTAAAATGAAAGAAGGAAAAAAGATATTTCAAAATGTCCCATAATCAGCTCTAAAGAGAAGTAGTGTTTTGGAGATGTGAAAAGATAAACGTTAAAACCTCTGTGATGATTGCTGTCTGGCTTGATGACATTATCACTTCAAGATTATTTCCTTTAGGGACTTATGGTGAGTAACTGTTAATATTTGACCCAGTCTGAAAATTATTCTTTTGATTGAATAACTTTACTATAAAATTCAGTAAAAAGTTTCAGTAAGCCCTTTGAAACAGATATGCCTGTTTTTATTGTATTCTCTGCCATTGAAGGTCGCAGTTCCTTCTCATAAGAAGCCTTTTAGGCCATCTGGCGTAGCAGAATGTGGCACTGAAAAATGGATGGGGCTACAAAGGGCGCAGTCTGCGAGTTAAAATGCACCATTTGTGCTAACAGTAAACCAGTATCATTAAATAAAACCAAAGGTTCTTGTAATTATAGGTATTAAAATTGCCATTACGTGTCTTTAGAAACCCAGACACAAATAAAAATGCTAATAATTTGTCTTTTAAACAGCTGAAACCTATTGTCTATCTTAAGGCCTTCAAAAGATTTTTCTCCTGGCATTGTGGCTGCTTTCGGTGGTAGGGTTTCCTTCCTTTAAGTATTTTATTTTAAAATATAAGTAATATTTCATGTATGGAAAAGAAGCGTGCTGTTTTTCTTTACAAAAGAATTTTTTAATCAGAAATGATGAAAAGTTATAACAAATTATTTTCCTATTAATTATATAAATGAATTATTTTAAAACAAAGATGCAAAGAAAAATGTTTACTGAGCCACTTAATGAAAGTGATTATTTAATACGCACACTTTTCTAGAAGTCTTTATGGCTTTGGAGAGGTTATTTTGAGTAATACAACTGCATTTTTTTTTAAAGATTTTATTTTTTTCCTTTTTCTCCCCAAAGCCCCCCAGTACATAGTTGTATATTCTTCGTTGTGGGTCCTTCTAGTTGTGGCACGTGGGACGCTGCCTCAGCGTGGTTTGATGAGCAGTGCCATGTCCGCGCCCAGGATTCGAACCAACGAAACACTGGGCCGCCTGCAGCGGAGCGTGCGAACTTAACCACTCGGCCATGGGGCCGGTTCCTACAACTGCATTTTTAACATTTAGGTTCAGATGCTTATTTGCGAGATTTTTCTTTGATTATAAATCTGAGTGTTTGCATCTCTTGACAATCATATACAGGTTTATGAACCACATGAAACACCATTTGGAACTTGAGAAGCAGAACAGTGAGAGCTGGGAAAGCCACACCACATGTCAGCACTGCTACCGTCAGTATCCCACACCATTCCAGCTGCAGTGTCACATTGAGAGTACGCACACCCCCCATGAGTTTTCTAGTAAGTCACAATTTCATTGAAGTCCTGAACAGTAATGATTTCGATCATCTTACCTATGAGGAATCTTAAGAATTCTGATAGAAAAATGAGAATAAGAAATGAACTTTGTAATTTGAGGGCAGAATTGAAAAACAAGTCTTAACCTGTACAAAGTTTTCGATAAAATTACTTACTAAAATTGAAGTCCCTTTTGTAAATAGAAACTTTCTTGGCATAACACATGCATTGTATGTAGGGGGCTCAATTAGAAAACTCAGATTCCCTGGTTTGCAGCATGAAATCAATGGTCTTGATTTATACTCTAACAAGAAAAGTAACTGCAATAATAGTTAAAAGCACAGAGTCTGGAGTTATCTTGGATTCCAGTCCCAGCTCTGACTCTTAATACAGCTGCGAGATGTCAGGCAAGTTACTTAATCTTTCTGTGCGTCAGGTTCCTTGTCTGAAAAATGGGGATAAAAATAGCAGTACCTCTCTCGGTGATGGTATGAGAATTAAGTAAGCTAATTAATACAAGCAAAGTAGCGCTGCAGAGTTAACAAGTATAGAATTGTTGGAACTACCATCACCTCTACTATTCCTGTTATTACTTGTTGTTGCTCTTGCTATGGATGTACAAAGTGAATCTTTTATTTATATACATCCTTAAAATGGTGTAATGTGTTTTTCTCCCACTTTCAGCTATTTGTAAAATCTGTGAATTATCATTTGAAACAGAACATACTCTTTTACAACATATGAAGGACACTCATAAACCCGGTGAAATGCCATATATTTGCCAGGTACACACACGTTTTATCACTTACTTAGGTGTTTGTTTAATTTTCATGTGCTATGAAATAGTATTGTTCTTTTGATTTTTTTTAACCATTTGAAGAAAACGAGTTACTGAAATTGAAGACCCTCTTCAACAGCAGAAACTCTCTTGGTTTATCTCATATATGGGAGGAGGGGTTGGGTTTGGCCCGTGGGCCGTAGTTTGCTGACACCTGTACTAGACAAACAAAATGCCCTGCTGGAGAAAGACAAAGATATGGACTTTCCTACTGTGCAGAGAAGAATATGGACATGACAGAGAAATAGGAGATGCTATTAGTTATGGGGAACTCAACTAAATGCTTTGGGGCCAGTGTTTTTCCAGAATTTGAACTGGTTCCCAATAAGATAGCAAGAGAAAGATAAAATTGCCTCTGTCATAGCCTGGATGCTATTTAAAATCCGAAGGAGAGAATATTCCATTTTATATAGCAAGAAAAATTTTATAAGACAAGGGGTGTCAGAGTTTGAAAATTCAAGTCAAGGTAGGGGGTAGTAGATCTGAAAAGAAGGGGATCTAGTTATGTTTAAGAATATATTCCTAAACTTTAAAATATAACTTTTCTGTTTCGAAGATTATCTTTATTACTCATAATCATAGGATTCTTGGTTGTATAGGCAGCAGAGCTGAATTAATAGTACGTAATGTTCCTCTAAGCAGAGAACTCCTCATTGCTACTTTGATATAACAGCACATAAGTTATAAATTTTCAAGTTAAACTAAACCTTCTTTATATTTCTAGGTTTGCCAATTCAGGTCATCAACATTTGCTGATGTAGAAAATCATTTTAGAGCATCCCATGAAAACACTAAAAACTTGCTATGTCCGTTTTGCCTCAAGGTTAGCAGAATGGCAACCCCCTACATGAATCATTACATGAAGCATCAGGTAAGACTTGGCAGTTCTCATTTGTTCATTTGTCTTAGTGAAAAGGTGTATATATATATATATATATATGTACGTAAAACTTAGAACGTTGGTTAGATTTATTCTAGAAGAAAAGCAAAGTTGTTCCAAATGACACAATTAATTTATACTTTATGGTGAATTACTTGTGAAGCTTCCACCTCTTTTCCTTGTTTGCTTCCTGGTGATGATGAGGCTCATGAATAGTGAAAATTCTGGAAGATAGGTAGAAATAGGAACTCTAGAGTAAAGGAGAAGTGGGAAGATGAGTGGAGCATTTAGGCTGTATATTCCAGCGGTCTAAGAGTGGTGAGAATGGGAATAATATTGAAGGTAATTAATCAAGAGCAAGAAAAGGATAAGTTTGAACTGAGGAAGAGAAGATTGAGGACTCATAATCTTCTGTTTTCCTCTTTCTCTTCGAAGTTTATCTCCACTTTCTAGCCTACTTTTTATTATGAGAAAACATATGAGTGTCATCAGTGACCCAGAATGGTCTTTTGTAGCAGCCAGTGACAAAGGAAACAACAATGACACATTTCTAGATATGTGAACTATGCCAGAGAACTATATTTAGGTTATAAATTGTTTCCTGGATGACTTTTGCCAGTTCTGCTATGTAATTTCTGGAATGTCAGTATTAGTGCTTGCACCTTTCCCTTGAATTCTCCTTTTGTGCTTGCTGGTTCTTTTCCTGACACAATTAGACTATCCCTTACTTGGGCTGAAAACTTTGATGAAACAATAAGCCTATTCTTGAGTGCTTGAAAGAGCAATGGTACCTTTGCCAAAATCAGAAGTCAATAAATTTACTGAATCTCATTATGTAATCAAATTTTGCCTCCTAACTGATCAGCTCATTACATTTTCTGGTTATTGATTGCGTTGTCACGGGCAATTTATTCAGCACTGGTGCTAACATTGCTTTCAGTTCCAGTCATTAGATAATCATGAAATCAACTTGTAGTTGTTAATTGGAAAAAATAATAAAAGTAGAATATCCAAATATATTCAAGATAACCTCTGTTATGACCAGGTTGGTACCAACATGCTTATTTTTTATCCTGGTATGTTTTCCCACCTTTAAGCACCTCTGGCAAAATCTGTCTACTCTAGGGTTTCCCCAACAGTGTTCTATAAGATGTTAATAGAAGTTCCACTCCAAAGTTATTCCTGGAAAAAGAAATTCAGTAAATGGCTGGATTTACAAAATTAATAGTTTTTTGTTTATTTTTTTAAAACAGGACTTTTCAGAGCTTTTAATATGCTAAAAATCATCACAAATCTCCAAGCAAGCGATATTGTATATATTGTTTCCAAAACTTACTTGACTATTGAACCCTTTATTTGCACAATACCTATTAACATTTCTTGAAGGAATAGAGTTTGGGAAATTGGTCTTGGTGCTGTATATTTCATCTTTTTTTTTTTTTTGAGGAAGATTAGCCCCAAGCTAACATCCGCCGCCAATTCTCCTCTTTTTGCTGAGGGAGATTGACCCTGAGCTAACATCTGTGGCCATCTTCCTCTACTTTATATGTGGGATGCCTGCCAAGCGGTGCGTAGGTCTGCACCCAGGATCCTAACCCGTGAACCCTGGACCGCTGAAGCAGAATGTGCAAACTTAACCACTGCGCGACCAGGCTGCTCCCGTATATTTCATCTTTTGACTTTTGATTTTGAAAGGAAGAATGAGATATAAAGCCGTAGCTGTGACTATTTCATTATGAAGCTTTTAACATAATTCTTTCTCCGGTGCTTTGCTAAGCTCTAGAATGAGGTATAGATGTGGAGGGAGTAATATATGCTTAGAGAGGTAAGAAAGAGATGAATGGACCCACTATGTGGACTGTGTCTCTTGAGTGGTTTACCTGATCTGTAGTCACTGTTCGTAACCTGAGTTGTATGTCTGAACCTGCCACATATATAGTAAAGAGTTAGCCCAGCAGGTCTGAGTTGCTCAAATCGTGCTCATTTTCAGAAGAGTCTACTTGCATAACTGGCCTTTGGCAAACTTCTGGAAACTGAGCCTTTGTTATTAACTGATCAATGTTTTGCATGCCTAGACCCCTGAGCCATGTTGTACCAGCTTTTCTAGATCATTTCTGCAGAGAAAATGATTATGGTGAATATCTGCTTTTCTTCTGGGCCTCTGATGATTTGGTGACTGAACCCCATAAAAAAACCTGGGCTCAAACTCGAGAGCTTCCCTGTCAAAAAAACCACTCCATACATGTTGCTGTAGTTGGTTGCTGGGAGATTGATTAAGCCTGCTTCCTGCAACTCACTCGGGAGAGGGCACTTGGAAACTGATGCCAGTATCCTCCAGACTCCACCTAATGCACTTTTTCCCTTTATTAATCCTGCTCTGTATCCTTTCACTGTAATAAATCATAGCTGTGAGTATAACAGCTTCTAAGTCCTGTAAGTCATTCTGCTGAATCATCCAATCTGAGAGTAGTCTGGGGACGACTGACACACCATGGGTGCCCAATTTTCTTTGCAAGTTTGGAAGTACCTGAGAGGTAGGCAGTCAACAGTCAACAGAGGAAGGAATCTATTAATAAGAAAGCTCGTCAGGCATCGTTCAAAGTATTTGCAATTTGTATAATTGTTCACAAAAGACTCAAAAACCATAGCTGGCCAGAATTATAACCATGTAATTGAGATGATACTAGTGTGATTTTGGACAATAAGAATTGCTGAATCTATGGCTCATTCTATTCTTTTTGAAGACTTTGGTTGTAACTTTTTCCTAAAAAGAGTGTATTATTATGTCTTGAGTGATTTTAGAGCTAACAAAATAGTTTGTACAACTTTTAAGAAAGGATGAAGGGTTTCAGATGTGTTAAATATCCTCATTAGATCTTTATAATAATAATAAGCCCTTAACATATACTCATCACTTGCCCTATGACAGTCGCCAGTGCTTTTACTTGCATTATCTTGTTTAATCCTCATAACCACCCTACAAGGCAGGTATGTGATGACTTCCATTTCACAGATGAGGAAACAAAGCTTTATAGAGAGTAACTTGCCCAGTGTCACACTGTCTAATAAATGGCAGAGCCAAAAATTGACTGAGAGCCCAAGCTTCTACCACAGAGCTATATTCTTCACTATCAGGTCTAAAGGCAGAGATCACAGATAGTCAGAATTAGCCTTGAAAATCTCTCAAGTCACCCAAATAATGCTTGTCAAAAAGTTTAACACAGACAGTTTTTTCTCTATCCTTGGAACAGATGACCATTTTTTTTTGGTTGAACATGTTATTTAAAAATGTACTGTACTGTCATCATCCTTAGCACATCACAAGCATACTTGCGTAAGAGAGATATGCAAGACTTGAATCCAACTGAGGAAATGGTAAATGAACGTCTTCCATCTCAGGGCTCTGGGCAAATGCTCATTAAATGGAATGGCAGACATTTTGAAATAGTTAAATTGTTCCTGCTTCTCATGTGCACTCTGTCAGTCTCTTGCTGTCTGCCTCATTATTTATTCATTTAACAAGTATTTATTGAATGCCTAATGTATGCCAGAGATTGTTTTATAGAAGTGAACAAAACAAAGTTTGTGTCCTGTGGAATTTGCATTACGATGGAGGATTGGGTGTGGGTGTGTGTTACTTCTGAATACGTATGTATGCCAGCTGGTGACAAGTACCATGGGAAGAAAACACAGGAGGACAGGGAGTGCCAGGGCTTAGGAGATGAAGGAGGAGTTTCTGTTTTTCACATGGGGTGGTCAAAGAGAGCCTCCCTGAAGGAAATAAGGGAGTAAGCCATGTGGATATCTGGGAGAGAATGTTCCAAGCAGAGGGAACAGTAAGTGGGCAGTGAGGTGAGCATATATCTAGATGTTCAAGGAGTAGCAAGGAGGCCAGCGTGGCTGGAGCATGGTAAACAAATGGGAGGAAGAGTAGTAGGAAATAGGTTGTAGCAATACAATGCAGGGAGGTGGTGTAGGGCCTTGCAAGCCAGAGTCAGGATTGTGGAGTGTTAGGGAAAGCCATTGGAGGGTTTAAGCATGTGAGAGATGACTGTGGCAGCTATGGAGATAATAGACTGTTGGGAGGAAAGGCCGGAATCAAGGAGAAGGTAGGAGGCTATTACAAGAGTCCAGGTGAGTGGCTTGGTCTGGTATGGTGGCATTGGTTGGCGGTGATGAAAAGTGGAAAGATTATGTTTTTGAAGGTAGAGCTGACAAGTTTTATTAATGGGTTAGATGTGGGATATGAGAGAAAGAAAGAGTTAAGTGTGACCAAGTTCTTTTATCCTGAGCAGCTGCAAGAATGGCATTCCCATATGCTGCAATATTGGGAAGACTAAGGAAGGAACATAGTTTTTTTTTGCAGGGTGGATGGGAAGAAATCTAGAGTTCATTTTTGTCCATGATGATTTGAAATGCCTATTAGAGAGCAAGTAGTGATGTTGAGTAGGCAGTTGGATGGATGCTATTTAAAATCAGGACACTAGATGACATATAGGTACAGGTAGAGAAAACATTTCTGGGCATTGTACTCTGGGGAACTTTGTATCTGTCCTCTTATCTTGCTATCTGTTTTTTTTTATATATAATTTTCTAATGAAATTTTTATGTATTTATTTATTTTAAGATTGGCACCTGAGCTAACAACTGTTGCCATTCTTCTTCCTTCTTCTTCTTCTTCTTCTTTTCTTCCTCAAAGCCCCCAGTACGTAGTTGTATATTCTAGTTGTGGTATGTGGGATGCCACCACAGCATGGCCTGATGAGCGGTGCCATGGCTGCACCCAGAATCCGAACCAGTGAAACCCCAGCCCGCCAAAGCAGAGTGCACAAATTTAACCACTTGGCCATGGGGCTGGCCTTCCTATCTGTTTCTTGACTGAGATTTTTTTCCCTCTGCCACTGTCATGAGCACATATAGGTGAACCTGTTTACATTGCCTATACTTAGGATACGATCCAAAGCACCATACTTCTAGAATAGTCTTAAGAT